CGCCATGTCTGCTCCTAAGACCAAACCACCACGGTGGTAAACGTCATTGCCAGGGAGGGGAGCACCCTCCTCTCCCGGAGGAGCCACGGGTTCCCTAAAGGATCCTGCCTTCCAGTTATTCTGGAAAAGGGTTCCAGGTGAAAGAATATGTTTAAGGCACTGCCTCCAACAATGAGTCCTTCAAATGGGAGAGTTATAGACTCAGATTTCCTTTTGAGCCGAAACCTGTTTGGCTCAGTGGATAGAGCGTCAGCCTGCAGACTGAAAGGTCCTAGGTTCAATTCAGGTCAAGGGCATTTACCTTGGTTGTGGGCACATCCCCAGTAGGGAGTGTGCAGGAGGCAGCTGATGGATGTTTCTTTCTCGTCGATGTATCTAACTCTCTATCCTTCTCCCTCTCCCTTCCTTTCTGTAAAAAATCAATAAAATATATATTAAAAATTTTTTTTCTTTTGAAGATACAGAGACAGTAAGGCATCAAACAGAATGTCAAATTACAGTGTGAAGATTAGGGAGAGGTGGGGGAGATAAGAGATCATCCGAAAGACTTGTGTGCATGTATATAAGCATAACCAATGGATGCAAAACTTTGGGGGGTGGGGCATGTATGGGAGTGAGGGGGGGCAATGGTAAGATATGCACACATATAATCCCTTAATAAAAAAAATGAAAAAAATTTTTTCTTTTGTTTCTTGCTCTTCACCTCGTTCACACACTGATATGAACTAGCAGTTCTGCAGGGCTCCCAACACCGGCTCAAGCAGCAGTAGCCAAAGGAGAGAGTATGAGGTGGACACTTGGGCTCAGGCTGCTTCTTAGGTCTCACCACATTCACTTAACCATGGGGTCAAGCTCTTTCATTTCCTCACTCATTTGGTCCACAAACACTGGGTACCCACCACAGGCTGACACCTTTCCAGGGCCTGGCTAGATGGTGGTTAAAAAGACAGGACGACCCCTGCCTTCGTGTGACTTAGGTTGTGGTAGTCAACTAGAAAAAAGACATCTAAATTAATAAATGCCTAAATAATTTCAAGTAGGTGATAACTGCTAAGAACCATAAGACCAAGTAGGAGGGGGCTTGAAGATGATGGGGCAGGAGTGGGTGGTGGGCTTGTCTGTGTTCTAATCTTTAGAACCTGTGAATGTTATATGGCAACAGGGACTGCAGATGTATTTCACTAAGAATTTTGGGATGGGGAGATTATGTTGGGAAAATAGAATTAAAACCCAAAATTGCCTACCCAACCAATAAAGCTCCCCACAAACATAGAAGAGAAAAAACAACAACAAAACCTCACAGTTTTATTACTGAATAATCATCACACCAGAATGAGATGCACATCACAGGAAGTCCACCAGGAGATTGCAAAGACAGGAAGAAATCTCACCTGTTACACAGCCCAGCAGGTGCAATCTGTTACACACATGTTCTCCAGGTACACTGTCACCAGTCCTCCAGGGAGAGGACCTGACCATTTGTCACAGAGTTCATCCTAGATTCACCTGGTAATGGGGTGTTTGTTGACTGCCTTTATCCAGAGGAAGAACACACTTCTCCTATCTTTATGGCAGGAGGTAGTATTGCAGCTGGGAGGCAGGTGTCCACCCAGGTTAGGGTCCCAGCCTCCCATGGGGCCTGGGAGACAAGCCCTGTCTCCCTTGATATTTACATTTCAAAGAGATGGCTTCCAGGTCCCTGAGAGAGACACTCTGGGTTGTAAAGCTGCCAGGAGGCTTATGTATACATACATCGCAAAGAGACAGAGGAAAATTCACAAGGACAAGTATTCTAAGGGAAGGGTGGTGGCTGTGGGGGAAGTCTCTCCCCTTTTTGCACCAGGAATGCAAACTTGTCTTTCTTAGTTTGTTTTTGTTTTTGTTTTAAAATATATTTTATTGATTTATACAAAGATGAAGGGAGAGATAATTAGAAACATCGATCAGCTGCCTCTTGCACACCCCCTGCTGGGGATGTGCCCGCAATCAAGGTACATGCCCTTGATTGGAATAAAACCTGGGACCTCTCAGTCCGCAGGCCAACGCTCTATCCACTGAGCCAAACCAGTTTCTGCGTCTTTCTTAGTTTTAACTTGCCCTTACAACTGTCCTGGATGATCTGGGCAGGGCCTGGACGTAAGGGTCCTGATAAGAGGGAGGCAGGGGGAGATCTGACCACAGCAGAGACAGAAGGCGATTCTCTGAAGAGGGAGAAGGGCGCTAAGGCATCCACAGAACGCGACTCTCAAGGCTGGAAAACAGTCTCCTCTGTGAGAGCCACCAGAGGGACAGAGGCCCTGCCGACACCTTGCTTCAGGCCCAGTGACACTGACTTCGGATGCCTGACTTCTGGAACTGCCAGGGAATCAATGTGTGTCATCTTAAGTGACCACGTTTGGGGAAATTTGTCACAGTGGCCACGGGAATGAGTAGATGAGTACACAGGTGGGAGGGACATGGTTTGAGAACAGAGGATATTTGGACTCCCGCCTGAATAAAGTGAAAGATTTACCCTGTAAAGTTCTGGTGGAAGGGCGTCCTAGGCAGACAGAACAGCAACTCCAAAGGCCCTAGTGAAGGCATAAGTTGTTGAAGCTGGGACAGTGCCCACTGGGACCCCGAGGGCACGGAGCTACAGAGGTAGGCATGGGCAGACCCGATAGAGCCTGAGAGTCTGTGGCAGTGGTTTGTGATGTGTTAAAAATGTGACGTAAGTCACCTGATCTGTGCTTAAAAGGGTTAATCTGGTCCGGGAGACCGAGCTCCCGGGCAGCTGTGCAGGGGCCCGGTGGGGGCAGTGGATGTGGGGAGAGGTGAAAAGTGGTGAGCAGGGCCTCCCAACCCTGGTGCTGGCATAGGAAATCTGAGATTCCTACTTGGTTTCCTTTGGACCAATTAAGTTTTTTTCTTTTAGAAAAAACAGACTCCTGGAACTAGATCTGCGGCAGACAGTGTCCGGTGCTGCAGAGTTAGGCTGACATTTGATCCCAGGTGAGGGCTGCTTTTATGACGTCCATCCTTGCCAGGCACTGTGTGTATTGTGCCTCTAAGGATATTCTTAGAACGGCAGCAGCAGAAGCACACCGATCTGTTCCTGAAGAGTTTCCCCATGATCCAGCGAGACCGCTCTCACCTGAGGTGCCGGCCTTGGGCAGTCAGGGCCTTGCTCAGGGTGAGCCTGGGCGGCCGCCTCTGCAGGTCCCCATACTGAGAGGGCTCTAGGAACGGAGGCCCTCCCAGCGATGCGGGCTCCACCAAGGTGAACGTGGTCACCTGTGCTTCCTTCCTCCTTCCCACACTGCCTGAAAAACATACGGAAGAAGCTCGGTGAGTTTCCCAATCTGCTTTCAGGATGCTGTCTGCGGCCGGAATTGACAATAAAGTAAGTTCCGTTAGAATAAAGTTTTCCTCTCTTCTCTCTGTTCCCTAGTCTCCTCTACTTCTCAACAGCTATCCATCCAGGAATTGTCAACGAGCACATGGTTTTATTTCACTTTAAGTACTAACCCAAGAGACATGGCTGCCGCTAATCCAGGGTTATACGGCATTGTGGAAAAATAGCGCGGACCTTTTCTGCCTGGCTCACGATCAGGCCAGCACCTGGCGCCACGGCAGATGGTGCACACTGATTAAATATTTGTTGGATGTATGAACGGGGCCTGAAACAGTCTGTTCCCAATAGGTGGATGGAGTTTTCTCTCTTGCAGACACAGAACTGCTTCTAAATAATACTTGGACATCTTCACAGAGCCTGGAGACATGAAAGACAAATTTATATAATGACATAGAAAGACAGAAAAATCCGAACAACTTATTTGTACATTTATGCTGACATTAAGAATCACGTTATAAAATGGGGGTGGGCGGGAATTCATAGCAGGGTTATGTATAAAGGGCAGAATACATCTTTCCAAAAGCATTATCCCAATTACTAGTATGTCCCATATGCATAGATAAGCACAGAAAAGCATTGGAGGTGGACACATACCAAAATATTAAATGTAATTCACTCTAGTATGAGAGTTTTTTTTTTTTAATACATTTTGTTTCCTATTTATGGAATAGATTTTTAAAGTGTTTAAGCAACTGGTACAATTAAAAAAAAAAAAAAAGGCCTTTGTTGGAAAGCGTGAGACTGGAGGAGCCTGGGAAACTCAGGAAGCGTGTTGTTTGGAAAGCCAAGGCCACCTGCTAGCGGTGAGTCACCGGCGGCGGCGCAGGCTCGCACCTGCCTCCGCGCTCGCCAACCTGCCGCCGCGCGTTTCCAAGCGGAATGGCCCGGAGCGCGAGCGGCCCCGGCCCCGCGGCCATGGGCGACGCCACTCCGCTCTCTGCCCACGGCTGGAACCGAGGGCATTCCTCTTTCAGAGTTCGCGCCACCAGGCGCTTTCTGTCTCCGCTTCGGAACAGACTCGTGGGGGGCTGTCAGCGCGGCTCAGACCCCTGGGAGGTGCCGCAGCCAAGGCCAAGGTCAAGGCGGCGGAGCGTGAAGGGCGTGCCGGGGGGGATGCGGAGGGGGGTGCCCTCTGGAAAGGCCCGGGAGCCTGGCGCTGCAGGAAGCCCACGGGTCCGGCTGAAGGACAGGTCCGGCCGCGCGGTCGCCCCGGGCCGCGCGCCCTCCGTGGGGACAAAGGGTCGGAGGAAACTTGCGCGGGGCCCGCTCCGGGATCGCCGGGCTGCGGTCGCCACGGCAACGGAGCCGGGCCCTGGGCGGCCTCCCCAGCCGGACCGCGAGGGGGCGCGCTGGGGGCGGCGATGGCCCCACTCCGCGGGCAGCGCTGCCCGTCCGGACCCGCTCCTCCTCCCTCCTCCCTCCGCCGCGGCCGCCGGCCGGAGCCCGAGACTGACCCTCGGCAGCTTCTGTAGTCACGTGGCGCTGGGAACCGGCGGGGGGGAAGGGGGGCTGAGCACGGCCTGGCAGCGGTGAACCCGGACCAGCTGCTGTCGCCGCGGCGGGCGGGGGGAGCGAGCGCGGCGGCCGGCGCCGGCGATCGGGCCTCATGGACGCGCAGCGCGCCGCCGCGCTCCCGGCGGGAGAGGTTCGTCCCGGGCCGGGCGCGGGCTCCGCGCGGGCCGCGGCGGGGGCGGCCCAGCCTGCCGGGCGCGTGACCGTGCGCGCGCCGTGCGGGGGGCACCGGCCGACCGAAGCGGGGGGTGCAGGGGGGTGCAGGGGGGTGCAAGGGGGAGCCTGCGCACCTGCGCACAGGCGCCCCGAGGTGCTCTCTGCGCGCGGATCCAGAGGGCCCGCCCGGGGAGTGCGGAGCTGGGGGACGGGGACGTGCAAGGATCCCCAGTGCGGTGGGTGCAGGTGGGTGTAGGGTGCCCACGGCCCTCTGCCCCCCAGGACGCGCCCCGAGGGGCTGCTGACCGGTCGCGGCCACCGGCTCGCCAGCGCGGCCCCTGGGAGACGGGCCTGGAATTCCCGTTGGGAGGAGGCGTGGGGGAGGGGAGCAGCGGGGATCCCAGAGTTGCTGCGGGGAGTCCGGCCTCTGGCCGTCAGTCGGCGGCGCGGAGAACTGGTGCTGTGACCTTACCCGTGGAGGACGTGACCCCCAAACGGGGCTCTGTGCTTCCTTGGTGCGGGGGACACATTTATTTCCTAATGTCGTCGTAGCCGTTAAGGTCACTCTGCCGGCCGGGGTGTGTGTGTGTGTGTGTGTGTGTGTGTGTGTGTGGAACTTGGGTGGGGGAGGGGGCTGTGGCTGGCGAGGACACAAAGATGACCGCCCTGGCGGAGCGGAGCGCAGAGCCTCATGCTTGTTTTCTCTCCCCTCCCCACAGGTAAGGCTGGCCTCTCTGCAGTCAGAGGCCTGAGCTCTGCCATGGGGGTAGGGGTGTCCTTGCTCCTGCAGTTTTCTCTGACATCCGGGGGCTACCGGAGTGCGGGCCGGAGCAGGCGCCTCAGCCGCAGAAGCATCCCCAGGAGCACCCCCGCCAGGAGCTGGGAAAAGACTCATCTCCAGCCCCACAGTCTCCAGGGTAGAGTCCGGCCTTCTTTACTGGGTTCCAGTCCACTCCACAGCCCCGGTGCTCAGGCCCCCCCATCCCTGGGAGGAAGGGTGCCTGTGGGGGAAGAATCCCATTCGCATATCCTGGAACCCTCCCTGCTCTCAGTCTGGCCGCTGGGAATGAGTCATGTCTGTGATCCTCTGAGGAGTGCGGACTCCGGGGAATTTAGGAGGATGTGTCTTGAGCTTTTGAGCAGGGAAGTGGGCTTGGAGGCTGTCCTGCAGGAATCTGGGCTCCCTGGCATTTTGGAGCTACTGAAAATGGGGCAGCTCTCGCCGGGGTTGGGACAGAACTAGACATAATCTCTTCTTTCCTCCCCTGCTCTTGCCCCAATAATCCCTCCCACCCACGGAGGCAGCAGTGCCAGGGCCCGAGGTCCCTGAGGGGAGCAGGTTGTGAGTGTTCGTTGGGTTTGGGAGAGCTTTCTTTCCTGCAATGTCCTAATCATGCATGTGGGTGGCGGGGGGGCATGTGGGCAGACTGTGGGCACAGTCTGGACAGGCGGTGGCCTGGCCTCTTGCTGAGAGTAGCATCCAGCTCCCCTCCTGTTCCCAGCAGCGCTGGCTCACTCCGTCTCCCCCTCTCCTGGCTTCTCCCCTGAGAGACTGAGTTAGGGAGGCGGAAAAAGCCTTCTTGTGCTGTGATTAATATCAGAGGGAAGATAATAGAAATGAAAGGCTCTAGCAGTTTCTATGAGAGCATTACAGATCCAGGGTTTAAGAGGAAAGAACACTGGCCTGGGAGTTTAGACCTGTCCCCTCATCCTGGTTCTGTTGGTTTACTGTGTCCTCGCAGGCCAGTCTTATCACCTTTTATGCCTCGGGGTTGCTACATCTATCCAACAGAGAGCCTAATGTTTGCTCATCCAGCCTCACAGAGTTGCTGGGAAGCTGCTGTGGCAACAGGAAGTAGGAGGGCCAGGAGAGGGCAGCAGGGCCGCTTTTGGGAAAAGCACGAAGCACCGCCGAGAGCGGCGATATGCTTTCTGGAGAGGCAGAAGTGCCTGTGCAGCCAGTATGGAGTGTTTATTCCATGCCAGGCACATGGCGGCCATGACGGGGATTCTAAGAAGTGTCAGGGTCAATAAAGACTCATGACAAATATACTCGAACTGTGTCTAGAAGCCCAAGGTTGAACTACTATAGAAGAGTAGCCTAGATTCCAGGGCTCTAGGGATCCAGAGCGGGGAGCTCCCTCTGGCTGGGGTGGCAGGGGAGGAGTGGGGGCAGGGCCAGTGGGCCTCTCGTGTGACTGTGCCTTTCCACCCACAGCAGAGGAAGGACCGATGCTGGAGCGACGCTGCAGGGGCCCCCTGGCCATGGGCTCGGCCCAGCCCCAGCTCCTTTTGGGGCCCTCCCCGGAGCCGTCCCAGACCCTGGAGAAGGAGCCCCACGGGCTGAGGTTACAAGGTACCTCGGTGACCCAGCCAGGCAGCCAGGCTCCAGGTCGGGTCCATCGCTGTGCCCACTGTCGCAGGCACTTCCCCGGCTGGGTAGCCCTGTGGCTTCATGCCCGACACTGCCAGGCCCGGCTGCCCCTGGCCTGCCCGGAATGTGGCCGTCGCTACCGACACGCCCCCTTCTTGGCACTGCACTGCCAGGTCCATGCGGCCGCCACTCCAGACCTGGGCTTCTCCTGCCACCTCTGCAAGCAGAGCTTCCGAGGCTGGGTGGCCCTGGTACTGCACCTGCGGGCCCACTCGGCTGCCAAGCGGCCCATCGCCTGCCCCGAGTGTGAGAGACGCTTCTGGCGACGAAAGCAGCTTCGAGTGCATCTGCGGAGGCGCCATCCCCCCACCCCCGAGGCCCGGCCCTTCATATGCGGCAATTGTGGCAGGAGCTTCGCCCAGTGGGACCAGCTCGTCGCTCACAAACGGGTACACGTAGCCGAGGCCCTGGAGGAGGCAGCAGCCAAGGCTCTTGGGCCTCGGCCCAGGGGCCGCCCGGCAGTGACCGCCCCCCGGCCCGGGGGGGACGCCGTGGACCGCCCCTTCCAGTGCGCCTGCTGTGGCAAGCGCTTCCGGCACAAACCCAACCTGATTGCCCACCGCCGCGTGCACACGGGCGAGCGGCCCCACCAGTGCCCCGAGTGTGGGAAGCGCTTCACCAACAAGCCCTACCTGACCTCACACCGGCGCATCCACACCGGCGAGAAGCCCTACCCGTGCACCGAGTGCGGGCGCCGCTTCCGCCACAAACCCAACCTCCTGTCGCACAGCAAGATCCACAGGCGGTCCGAGGGGTCCACCCAGGGCGCCGCCAGCACCGGGGGGCCCCCCCAGCTTCCAGCCGGGCCCCCGGAATCTTCCGCAGAGCCCGCCCCGGAGGCTCGCCTGAGACCTGCCCAGGCGCCTGTCCGGGAGCCTGCCCCCGAGCCCCTGCTGGAGGCCCCCGGAGAGGGCCCCCGGGACCAGGCAGAGGCGCCCCCGTCTCTCTACAGCTGCGAGGACTGCGGCAGGAGCTTCCGGCTGGAGCGGTTCCTGCGGGCCCACCAGCGGCAGCACACGGGGGAGCGGCCCTTCGTCTGCCCCGAGTGCGGGAAGGACTTCGGCAAGAAGACCCACCTGGTGGCCCACTCGCGGGTCCACTCAGGGGAGCGGCCCTTCGCCTGCGAGGAGTGTGGGCGCCGCTTCTCCCAGGGGAGCCACCTGGCCGCCCACCGGCGCGACCACGCGCCCGAGCGGCCCTTCGTGTGCCCGGACTGCGGCAAGGCTTTCCGCCACAAGCCCTACCTGGCGGCCCACCGGCGCATCCACACGGGCGAGAAGCCCTACGTGTGCCCCGACTGCGGCAAAGCCTTCAGCCAGAAGTCCAACCTGGTGTCCCACCGGCGCATCCACACCGGCGAGCGCCCCTACGCCTGCCCCGACTGCGACAGGAGCTTCAGCCAGAAGTCCAACCTCATCACCCACCGCAAGAGCCACATCCGGGACGGCGCCTTCTGCTGTGCCATCTGTGGGCAGACCTTCGACGACGAGGAGAAGCTCCTGACCCACCAGAAGAAGCATGACGTCTGAGGGCAGGGCGTCGCTCACGAGGGAGTGATGCAGTGGGGCTGCGGGGCCTGTGCTGCTTAGGCCAGGGAGCCATGTCCGGCACAGGGACCCGGCCTCCCGCTGGAGTTTGCCACGGTTCCCTCCTCGCTGCCCTGCACCCTGCAAAAGTAGCAATAGCACCTGTGCCCACCCCGTAGTGTCTGTCCTCCGCTGGAGGGGCTGCCGGTGGGCAGGATGGCCCTTCTCCGGTGGTAACGCCTTAATGTCCCTGCCTTTGATTTTGAGCTTCAGCTTGTTTTTGGAAGTAGGTGTGGTAGTCCTTAGTAAAGAGCACTTGGGAAGCAAAGCGGACCAGCTGGATGTAGCTGGGAAACCTGTTGGCCTTGTTGGGCAGCCCTGGAAGGTGAAGCCAAGCTGCTCTGACCTGTCCCTCTGCTGCCCTCCCACCTGCCCCTGCATTGGTACCCATCTCATCTGGGAGAGATCCATCTGCTGTTAGTCTTGGCTTCCCCTTCCTCCCTAAAGGTCAGTTCTGGTTTCTGCACAGGTCACCCCATTTGATTTAAAAAAAAATATATATGTTTTGTTTTTTTTTTAATTGATTTCAGAGAGGAATGGAGAGAGAGAGAGAAGCATCAGTGATGAGAGAGAATCATGGATCGGCTGCTTCCTGCACAACCCCTACTGGGGATCGAGCCTGCAACCTGGGCATGTGTCCTGACCTGGAACCTAACCACGACCTCCTGGTTCATAGGTCAACACTCATTCACTGAGCCACACCAGCCAGGCCCCATCCGACTCTCTATCCACCGCCCTCCCTGTGCTTAGAGCACCCCCTGGCTGTCAGCAGTCCTGTGTCCAGGGTTTTGTCAACACCCCAGTCATCTTTCACACCTTCCGGGACCCCACATGTTGTAGAAGGATTGCCCTGCTGATGTCGGGGGGAGATAGGGGTGTTTTCTTTTCAGCATTTCTAGTGTCTAGATGCCTAGCCTCTGGTTGAACACTTAGGTGACAGGGAGTCCCCGCCTCCTGAGGCCCTGGTTCTATTGTAGGAAAGTTCTAATTGTTAGAAGTTACTCCTTATAATGAATGAAATCTGCTTTCTTATAATCTCTACCTATCGGGCCTTGTTCTGTTCTCTGGAACTAAACGGAACTACCACCCTCCTTTTCAAATTAGAGAATAAAGATTTGGTTTTAGCACTGGTGGCTGCGAAGTGTTCCTTTCTCCCTGCAGCTGTGGTGTTGGAAGGAGGAGGGGTTGCTGTGTGGAGGGAAGAGTTTGGTAGCAGGCCAAGTGCCCCGACGTGAGCCCTCTGTCCCTGCTTGAGGTCCCCTTCCCCAGAGAAGGCGGGGCGCACCCAGCAAGAGGGGTTCAGCCTCCTGTGGGTCAGGTCAGACTTGTGGGTGCCAGTTATTGGGGAAAAGTTTGGATTTGATTTTGTCTTGCAGTGCCTCCCTGGCTGGCCTGCTAGAGTCCCCCACATCTGTTACTGTGGACGCTTCCTGGTACTGTTGTTTCATACAAATAAGATTGCCTGTTTTTGACGGGTATCAATAGGCCCTTTTCTTGCCAGTCTTCGTAATTTCTGTACGGGTTACTGGCACCTGGCATAGTCTGGTGCATAATAATAATAATAGCCACAAATTGTTTGTGTGAGTGGTACCCCGCAAAGAAGTGTCCCCAAATTACCTTGTGTGGAAGGTACTCTTCTTTTACAGATGAATGCAGTTGCTCAAGGCCATGTAACTGGTGATTGTCAGAGGTCAGTCTGACTCCTGGAACCTGTGCTTTGACCATGGCCATGGAGGATGCTGCTGCTTTTGGTGAAGAGGAGTATTCATTGCCTACTCTGCTTGATGTGCGGGTGGAAACAGGGTTTACAAAGATAAGCCTCAATCTTTCCCCTTAGAAGGCCTACTAGTAAGTTTGGGGTGGACATATATGTGTACACAAATAATGAGTATAGAGAGATGGACATGAGGGTGCGTGAGACTCCACGTGTATAGGAAGGAATCAGGCAACTTCAATGCTTCATATTGGTTTATGGGGTTATGGGACCACTTAAAAGCCTGTGTAGTTGATGGTGGCAAATTAGCTTTCAGAACCTGGGGGCATTGTGTCAAGAAAGCCTCACCTAAATGTGTCTAAGAGAGCTGAGGGCTTCAGGGGAAGGGAGCAGTGCTTTATGGAGGGGGTGAGAGGTGGGTGGGGGAGTATCAGGAAAGTAGGTAGATGGGACAATGGTTAGGGAGCAGGAGACAGGTCCTTAGGCATCTAGGGTTATGGGGGGGGGGAGGTGTCAGAGAAAAGGATGAAGGAGAGGGGATCTGACCATGGGTTCTGACTTTTTAAAAACTTACCTTTAAAGAAAAGGCCTGGTGTGTGGGAAAGGTGAGCACCAAAAGTTCTCTCTGCTGCCTGCTGCTTTTGGGTAGAGGTGGTGAGAAGAGGGCCAGGGGTCAGGGAACGCCACAAAAGTAGCCTCGAGGGGGCTGGTAAGGCAGGATAGAGCGAACTTGCCCCTAGAGTCCTGCAGAGTCCCAAGCCCTTGCTCAGCACGGCACATGCTGCCAGCAGGCTTGAAAGAGGAACTGCCTGGGTTGGGTGGTCAGTGCTCTGCTGACAGGAGCTGCCCTTCTGTTCTGAAGAGCCCTGGGCTGTTTCTGTTTTCTTCTACGGTTACAGAAGTATTCAATTAACTTGTCAAAAGTAAACAATGCAGATAGACTTAGATATTTTTTTTTTATGTGGAAGTCTTTCATTCCTTCCCTTCCGCCCTCCCTATCTTTCCACCATGTAGGGAATTGGAGGGTGGTGTCCTTCCAGAGTATTTTTCTGTGCATATAGATATGAACATATAGCCCCCCATTTTTACTTTATGGAAATAGGACTCCAGCTATGCTTCATTCTTTCTACTCTCTATGTAACCTTGATCATGAAATGTCAATCTGGAGGAAGTCTCTCACAGGAGTGACCGTGACTTTCCCACTTGAATGCAGAGGCAGCTATGGGCGTAGAACATGCATCCTAGCCTTTGCTAGGTATTCTAGAAAATAAAGAGATGAATGAGACTCTAAAGAGTTGGTGGCTTAGTGATGGCTGGCTTCTGTGTAAGGTTATTTTATGAAAGCTTCTATTGATGATAGAACCAATTAGGGCCCGGCAAAAATCCAGTAAGGTATGTATGCAACTCTTTTACAGATAAGTTAAAATCCAGAGACAGAATGTATCTTTTGTTTAAAAAAAAAATGCACACAAAGTTTGTCGTCAAACTTTGCTAGAATCTTGGTCACCAGAGGCTAACCAGCAGCTTGGCCCCTGGCAGATGCTTCATTGGCAGCTGCTGGCATTCATTAGAACGGTCCGCCGGCTGAGCAGTAAGGGTTGTGGGCAGTCTCAGAGAGCCCAGCTTCTGTTTGTATCAACCTCACATCCCTAAGGCGGTTTCTAAGCAGCTCCTGAGAGCATCCTGCCCCTGGCTCCCTGTGAGGTGGCAGTATGAGGAATTCTGACACAAAGGAGCACTGCCAGTCAGTGGGTAGGAGAGGAAATGCTTCTCGAAGGTTTCCACGAACAGAAGACCCTCCGTGACCATCTGGACCCTGCCTCTAAAGCAGCGGTGACAGTCGATTTAGGGACGAAACCGCCGAAGGCCCAGATCGCAGTCTCCTCCGCTGAAGGCCAGGGATTGGGCTGAAGGGTGTTTGAGGACCCGGGACCGCTGGTCATGCGCTGCGCGGAGTAGGGTGCGGAGGGCGATTTCTCTCCCGTTACGGGAGACGCCCACATCTAACAGCGGGTGCGCTGTGGTGCCGGCACCACCGCCACGTCACATGCACCCTCGGGTGTGAGCATCCCCGTGGGGCTCCTGCTTCTTCCCCCGGGCCCGGCGCCCAGAGCCCCGGAGGGCCTGCGTGGGTTTCACAGCGTGGTCTGCGGGGCCCGGCGGGGGAGCCCCGGGGGACCGGGGACGGGTGCCCGTCAGAACCAGGCCCCGTCCTCGCCGGGCCTCCCCTCGAAGCCCGGGGCGCGGGTCCGGTGCCCGCGGCCAGCGGGTTCCCAGCGCCTCAGGTGCCCAGGGGGGCGAGGTCGGCCCGCCGGCCACGGCCATTGGCCCCGGAGAACAAAAGGGCCGCCCCGCGGGCGCCTCCGATAGGGCCGCGGCGGTCATCTGAGAGGCGCAGCCAATCAGGCGGCGGGGCGGCCCTGGGGATGCCAGGCGCGCCAGCCAATCAGGGGCGCGCGCCCGTCCCCCTGCCGCGTCTGGCGGGGCCCCGAGCCCAGCGCCCGAGTCGCCCCGGGTGGCGGTTCCCGTTAACCTTAGCCTCAAAGTCAAAGGTATTTATTCCCGGCCCGCCCTCCGAGGCCCGCGTCCGGGCGGGAGGGGCGTGCGGAGGGAGACTTAGGGCCGGCGCCCGGGCGCTCCTCCCGCGCTGCCTCCACCCGCCCGGGGCTGGGGGCGGCCTCGGGGTCCCCCGAACCCCCCGCGCTCCGGCCTCGAACTCTGCCCGATCCACACCTCCCGGAGGGACGGGCGCGGGGCGTGCGTGGGAGGGGCTGCCGGTCGGGCCGAGAGCCGGAGGGGCGGGTGACAGCAGGAGGAACCGGTGGTGAGCGCGGGGCTGTCCCAGAAAGACGGGGCTCTGGAGGGAGGAGCCCCGCGCTCGCCGCAGTGACCCTGGGGTGCCCCATGAACCATCCAAGGAGTGGGAACTGGGGCTGGCGTGAGGACAATGAGAGGGAAGCACTACAGAAATGGAAGTGTGTGGAGGGGTCTCCCTGAAACCTCCATTCCAGGAAAATGGGCACAGCAGCTTAGGTCTCCGGGGTGGGGTGGGGTGGGGTGGGGAGTGGGAGGGGCTGGGCTTCTTCTCCTGTAAGGGGAGGACATGGAGATGATGCCCCTTTGGACAGGATGGAGCCTGGAGTTGGGTCTTGGTCAGCCAGAGCCTGGGTTGGGTGTGGTCAAAGCCTCAGAGGTGGAGGTGGGGGTGGGGGTAGGGGTGGGGGTAAGGATGGGGGGAGAATGACAGAGGGCAGGAAAACATCTAGGCTTAGGCTGTTTTTGTTTGTTTGTTTTGTTTTATTTTGTTTTTGGTCCCTGTTTTATCTGTAAAATGAAAAGATTAGAGAGTGTTAGTCTCATTTCAGCTCTAAGGTTCTATGATTCTGTAATCTGTTTTGGACTTAAATTTCTTTTATTTAAATGTTCCTTTTATTAAAATTGTTAGCAATGGTTTGTCAGCATGTGGAACCTTGTGCTAGGTGCTGAGGGAAGAGAAACAGTCCTGTATTCAGATGTGTGCAGTCTTGTGGAGACAGACAAAATATTATCACACCATGTGAATGGTGCTGGGTGGAGTGGATGCACAGGTCAAACAGAGAAGGGCCCTACCTGAGCCTGCAAATCAAAAACGCTTCCTGGTCACAGTGATCCCTGATCGGACTGGGCAGGGAAGAGTCGGGCAAAAGTATTCCAGGGCTGGTCACAGGCATGCTACGATGACATGGCAAGGTCAGGGGACCGCAGAGTGGGGCAATGGGGCAGGCTGAGCCTCAGGCGGTGAGGAGAGGTGAGCAGAGGACAGTTTTAAATGGTCTTGCCAAGAAATTTTTAACGGAACCTGAAGGTGTTGAGGACCCATCGAAGTATTTTGAGCAAAGTAAGAAACATATCCAAATTGTAATATTGCTTTGAGTTCTGGATGGTAGGTGGATTGGAGGGGCAAGATAAGCTATAAAACAGGTACAGTGTCCAGGAGAGAAGTGGTGAGGCCTGAACCACAGCAGTGGCAGGAGGAGGTCCGAAGGTCTTAAAGATAGCACTGGTACGTACCACTCAGTGTCTGTGTGTTGTGAGCGTTTGTGCTGCGTCGTAGCGAAGGTGGTGCATCTTGGAAAGGCCTGAGGAGGACCCACTGCCATCTCTGGGGAAACGTCTGCCCCTGGAGAGAGGTCACTTGAGGAATCCTGGGTTTCCTAGGGCCGAGTGGCCTGGAGGGTCAGGGTGTGCAGGAGGAGACCTCATGTCTAATTCTCTTTGAGTCAGAGAATGTCAACTCGGCCTCACTTTCCTCATCTTACAAGAGGGAAACACTTCCTACTTTTCCCAAGCTCCTTCAAAACGCAGCGCATTAGAAAAGGATGTATAGATGAAAATGACACTTGTTCAGTGTTGTGAGCGGTTGGTTTTGTCCCTGGTCTTCAGATCAGGTGATGGGGGTCCCAGGCCCAGGCAGGCTCCTAAGTCCTGGCCTTGGGGTGGAGGAACATGAGTGCTGCCCTTTTAAAAGGACACTGGGATGGGTGTGGGGATGCCACGGGCGTGGGGCAGGTGTGGGGGCATGCAAGTGGGGGTGGGACAGTCCAAGCAGAGATGTGCATGTAAGTCAGGTAGAGGAAGAAGTCTTGCAAGGGAGGTGCCACCTGTTTGGGTCTGGGGTCAAATCAAGGACCCCCAGGAAGTGGAGAGGCATGGGGAATCGGCTGCCAGGCTGTCCCTGGATATGGTTCCCAAGGAAGGCTGGCGGGTGCAAACGGCGGTCACTAGAACAGGTTCTTCCTCCGGGGAAACGCCGTGATACAGTCCTGACAAGGTGGGGAGTGTGTGTGGGGGCAGGTGTGGCAACTGCAATGACCTAAAAAGAAGTCATCTCGCACCTTGTGAGCATTTTTCAGTCTTTTCAGCTGTTCCTTCCATTTGCTAGAACAATTGTATACATTAGGAACAAGCATTGCTTGCATCTGCGGAGGGGGAAACTGGCCCAGAGAAGAAAAGCAGTTGGTCTTGGGTCACATGGCTAATCAGAAGCGAACCCCAGTCCGGCTGGTATGGGATTGAGTGTCATCCCGTGCACCAGGAGGTCTCCAGTTCATTTTCAGGACACAGGTCGCAGGCTTGATCCCCAACAGGGGAAGTGATCGAAGTTTTTCTCTCATCAATGTTTCTGTCTCCCTCTCCCTTCCTCCCCCTGAAACCAATGAAAACACACATGTACACACACACACACACACACACACATAGATTTTTTTTTTAAAGAAGCAAACTCTATCCCAAGCTCTCAGCCGCCCCCTCTCACCTCCTACCTCACCCACTGAGGAATCAGCCAGCAGAGAGTGGGCCAGCCAGACTAGAGCACATGGCAGAGGGAAGGCAGCTGGTTAGAGTGGGCGAGGCAAGGAGGAGGGCCAGGTGGAGTTAAACCAGTGGATGGCTGGGAGAGAAGTGATTAAGAGAAAGTAGGGAAGCATGGACCAAGGGGCAGAGGGAGGCCAGTTCGATGTAGTGGGGTACCTGGGGAAGGATGACCCCTTGCCTGCAGTTTCCCGTGGGGGCAGGATTGTTGGTATAAGTGAGCATGGCAGACAGTGAGGTCATGGGTGCAGCCCTGGTTCGGGGCTCATGACTGAGCAGGGCCTGGGAGCTGGGCCATCCCCGAAAGCCTCAGCTCTTGGTGCAGGGCATGTGGCCAGTCCCTGGTCCACTGGTGACAAAGGACACATGACGTGCTACCCACTCCTTCCCCATGAGGGGAAGAGAGATGTGCTTGGCTGGTGGAAAAGCTCCAGGGCCTGAGCTTGGGAGGATGTGGGAGACCTGGACATGTCCCTGCCCTGTGGCCTTTCTCCTCACCCAGCTGCTGCCCGCCCCTTCCCGCCCCCAAGTTTCTGCTGAGACCAAAGCTCTTTTGTTACCTTCCCCTGGCCCAGACCTCACCACCTGCCACAGGCCACAATCCCTGCTTTGTGTGGTCTGGGAGTTGTCATGGCAGCTGCCCCAGCTGAGGGGACTCACATCCCAGCTGCAGCCCGACCCCACGTAGGGAGGGCTGGGCCTGGAGCCAGGGGCTGGGAAGGGGATGGTGATCAGGGCCCGGCCCTGAGACCTGCTCTCCACAGAGCTTGTTGGGCCGCCAGGGAAAGGTCATTGGAGTGTGGGGTCAGGGCCAAGCGGCCTTCATAGACTCCATGGGCACTGTTAGGGGTAGCGGGCTGGCCCCATGGCCTCCTGTATTCTGGCTGGAGCGTTTTGCTAGGCAGCCTGCTGAACGGGTTCCTGGGCATCTCAGGTCAATTGATGCATCAGGTGGCGTGAGACTGTTGGGTGGCAGAATAAGAGAGGATGGAAAAGGCACAGTGTGGGGTGGGGCTGGTGTACATGTGACCTGGCCGATCTGGAAAGAAGTGGCCATGGGGAGGGACACTCCTGGGTTTGGCTCTCTCAGGGTTTGTCTGCAGGATACCTGCTCGCCTGTTTTCCAAATGTCCCACCTGAGCACACATGTCTTCAAGACATGGCCTGCCTACCCCCTATTCCTGTCCTCCGCGCTCCTCCTACTCCTGCCCTCTCATTCTTATTTCTTCCACTTCCTTTCGTGTCCACTTCTGTCTTACTCCGACCACAAGCCCACTTCTGTCTTACTCCGATCACTGTGAATTGTTCACTAAGAATTGAAGTTTTTCTGTCACCCGAGGTGATTTAAAAAATATATTTATTTTTATTGATAAAATTTTCATTCTTTTCAGAAAGGAAGGGAGAGGGAGAGATAGAAACATCAATGATGAGAGAGAATCATTGATTGGCTACCTCCTGCACGCTCCCTACTGGGGACCGAACTTGCAACCCGGGCATGTGCCCTTGACTGGAATGGAACCTGAGACCCTTCAGTCCCCAGGCTGATGTTCTACCCACTGAGCCAAACCAGCTAGGACCCGAGGCGATTTTTAGGTCTTAATACCTCTTGGAAGACAGAATCAGACAAGTAGGACTGATTTGATTAGGCTAAGGGGTCTTTTGTGTCGTGTCCTCAGTGGGGCTCTTTGGGAGTGTGGGGTCTATGGGAAGCAGGCGTGTGAAACAAGAATTCTGTCCATAGCAGAGGCAGTCTATGATGGAGTGAACTGCAGGCTGCCCCCAGTCCGCCTCGGAGTGCCACACACTGCTGTCAGGTGTGCTCTGTGTGGGGCTCCATCCCGGGCCTTCCTCAGTGGGCACGAAGTGTTCCTGTCCTCCAGATGAAGGGAAATACGTGAAGTAAATAGCATGTCAGGTGGCAAAGTGTCATGGAGGAATACTAGGTGGAGTCAGGCTGTGACTTTACCCAGAGTGCCTGGGAAGGCCGCAATGAGGAGGTGAGCCCTAAAAGAGGTGAAGAGGGCCATGCCAAGATCTGAGACAGAACACCCCATGCAGGGGGCAGCCAGTGCAAAGCCCGAGGCTTCTGAGCAGCATGACCTGTACTCCATCATGTTCCAGGCATGAGGGACCATCAGGAAATGTGCTAATGACTGGAACATTAACCAGCCAGATGGGCTGTGGATTGGTGGACATACAGCCCCGGTGGACTGTGCATTCTTGCATGGAGTGCTCCTTGGAAGGGTTTGTGCTGGGACACAGACGGGGACTTAGAGAGAGGAGGGCCGTGGTTTCACAGGCACAATTCTGCCTTCCTGGGTGTCTGCAAGACCTCTCAGGCCACTACCACGTTTGAGTTTCTCCCCTGCAGCGACCTTCATACCCCGCCCTGCAGTTGTTTTGAGCCCAGACCCGAGGCTTTAGTCTGGGAGCTGGAAGGCCTGAGACCTTGCCCTGCTCCATCACTCAGCACCTATGTGACATGGGACACGTCAGCGGCCCTCTCTGACCTCAGGTTCCTCCTCATAAAATGGGAATCGTGCTTGTTTTACCTGCCTAGCAGGTATGTGTGCAATTTAAAAAATGCTGCACATTTCAGCCAAGGTCATGGACAGAAAAGCTCTTGAAAGAGAAGGAATGCATTCTGGGAGGTGGCTGGCACGAGGACTGGGAAAGCTTTTTGTCCTTGTCCCACTGGCCAACTCTGTTTCCTTCGCTCCCCTCTCACGCACAGACCGAGTCAGGGCACCGTGGGTCTCCCGGGATGGAGAGCAGCCCGGCAGGTGCCAGCACAGGTAAGACAGAAGATGGGAAGGTGCGAGCCAACCATGGCTTCCTTCCCTGGCACGTCTTCCGTCTTCCTGTCCCTTCAAAGCTGCCCTCACACAGCCCCTGGGGCTCACTTAGAGGGTGTGGAATTGCAGGATGTTGAAGGTCTTCAAAGAATGGGACAAAGACAGATTATAAGAACTAAGAAAATGACAGAAGGCAGTTCAAAACTTGCCAGGCAAGGGAACCCACACACACACACACACACACACACACACACACACTGGCATGCACACACACGTGCTATTTTCTTTGTTAATTCCTCACTCCTACTTCCTCTGGATTTATTGTCTTTTAAGTATTGGAACCTGTTTAGAGCTTCTCTCTCTTCTTTATTCACAACTGTTTCATTTTACCTACTTTTAATCGAATGTAAACTTTCTATTGAATTGTAACACATTGAAAAGTGCCTAGTTCAGGAGCTCTATAAATTCTTATGATACAAACACTCCCCTGTGACCAGCACCCAGATCAAGAAAGAGACCACTGCCAGAATGAGAAGTCCATCCTGCCCCCTTCCAAGCAGGGAGCCTTTATCCTGGCTTCTCACTCACTCATTAGTCCTGCCGGCTTCGGAACGTCATATAATGGAAACGTTAGTCTGTATGCAGTGTCTGAAGCAGACCTTTCCCATTGAGCTGATGTCCGTGAGCCGGAGGAACCACCTGCCCCTGTGGACTTGAGCAGCCCTGTGTGTAGGACTCGGGAGTAGAGGGGCCTAGGTTTAGTACAAAGACAAGGCTCACCTGTTCTGGTGCTGAGACCTTCCTGGTTGACTTTCTTGATCTTGCTTTTGTTGAAGAAAAGTGATGTTGCCAAATGGCCAAGGACCCAGCAGGTGAGGTGCCCACACACCATGGCTGCCACCCTGGAGAGAGCCCGGCAGGGACACGGGGCACTGAGGGACTGGACACAGACTCGCTTAGCAAACACCTAGCCCATGAGCCTTTGGAAAAGAAGATGTTTGAACTTGGCCATGTTCTGCTTGCTCTCCAGGGAAGATCTCACTGGATGGGTGTCTTTAACTATCCCTGCGTCTCCTGGGTCTCGGGCAGAGCAGGGGGACAGCTGGTGTGTCCTGGCACAGCAGCTTCACTTAGCTTCCCTCCTTTCTTTGTTGTTGTTAATCCTCACCTGAGGATATTTTTTCCATTGAGTTTGAGAGAGAGTGGAAGGGAGGGAAGAGGGGGAGAGAAGTGAGACATCAATATGAGAGAGCCACATTGCTAGGGTGAGGATTGAACCTGCAACCCAGGTACCTTATTTGGGATCGAACACTTAATTCCCTGGTGCATAGGCTGACGCTCTAACCACTGAACAAACCGGGCCAGGACCAGCTTTCTTACTTTGCATTTTTCCCTTTGTCTTTCTCCAAACCCCAACCTGTCCCTGCCCTACTGCCCTTCCTTCCCCTCCTGTCTCCTTTCTCCTGTCCCTCTTCCCCCTTCTCCCCTTTCAAATCTCTTCCTTGTGCATTCTTCGGCCTTATTTTCTGCTATGCTCTGTCCTCTAGCCAAGTCTCCTTCAGCTCAGAGCAGTGACTGACTCTCCCCGTCCTCTGTCCCTTTGCCTCTGTCAGGAGACCGGCTGGTGATGAAGATCAAGCCAGAGAAGCCAGAGTGGCTGCTGCAGACCCTGGCGCCGCCGGCCACGCTTTCCAAGGACAAGGAAAACATTTTCCAGCAACCCCTGGGGCTCCCACCATGCCAGGCTCTGGGGAAACCCCGATCCTTGAGGGGACAGGAAGAGACTGGGGGTCCCAGGTGGACCCCTCCCACTGAGCAGGATGCTGGGCTGGCAGGCCAGGTTCCCGGGGCAGCCCCCGGCCCCCTGAGCCCCGTTCTTCCTGCCAGCGCGGGCCACTTCGTGTGCCTGGACTGCGGGAAGAGGTTCAGCTGGTGGTCGTCCCTGAAGATCCACCAGCGCACCCACACGGGCGAGAAGCCTTACCTGTGCGGCAGCTGCGGCAAGAGCTTCAGCCAGAAGCCCAACCTGGCGCGCCACCAGCAGCGGCACACGGGCGAGCGGCCCTTCCGCTGCCCCGAGTGCGCCAGGCGCTTCAGCCAGAAGCAGCACCTGCTCAAGCACCAGAAGACCCATTCCCGGCCCGCCTCCTACTCCTGCCCCGAGTGCCAGCGCTGCTTCCGCCACCAGCTGGGCCTCCGCACCCACCAGCGCGCGCACGTGCGGGGCCGCCAGGGCGCCCGCGCCGCCGGGCTGTGCGAGCTGCTCCGGGACTCCGCCGCCCGCGGGGGCTGCCGCCTGCGTCCGGGGCCGCCGCGTGGGCGCCCCGAGTGGGCCTGGCTGGGGCTCTTCCAGGGCTGGCGGCGCCAAGCGGGGGCCCAGCCTGCCGCCGCCGCCGCCGCCGCCGCCGCGGGGCCCGGCGAGCAGCGCCCGTTCATCTGCAGCGAGTGCGGCAAGAGCTTCGCGTGGTGGTCGTCGCTGAACATCCACCGGCGCACCCACACGGGCGAGCGGCCCTACCCGTGCCCCGAGTGCGGCCGCCGCTTCAGCCAGAAGCCCAACCTCACGCGGCACCTGCGCAACCACACGGGCGAGCGCCCGCACCCCTGCGCGCACTGCGGCCGCCGCTTCCGTCAGAAGCAGCACCTGCTCAAGCACCAGCGCACGCACCTGCCCGGCGCCCCGGCGGCGCGCTGCCCCGCCTGCGGCCAGAGCTGCCCCGGCCGCGCGGCGCTGCGGGCCCACCGGTGCGCGCCCGCCGCCGCCGCCAAGTCGCTGGGCCCCGGGTCTCAGGCCCAAGGCCCCCCGGGCCGGTCGGCGGCGCCACCGCACAGCCCTCCATCAGCCCGGCGACCCGCCGACGTGCGGTGGTGCAGCAGCGCGCGGGAGGAGCTGGTCGGGCCCGGCGAGCAGCGCCAGTTCATCTGCAGCGAGTGCGGCAAGAGCTTCGCGTGGTGGTCGGCGCTCACCGTCCACCGGCGCATCCACACGGGCGAGCGGCCCTACCCGTGCCCCGAGTGCGGCCGCCGCTTCAGCCAGAAGCCCAACCTCACGCGGCACCGGCGCAACCACACGGGCGAGCGGCCCTACCGGTGCGCGGCCTGCGGGCGCAGCTTCAGCCAGAAGCAGCACCTGCTCAAGCACCAGCGCACGCACCTGGAGGCCCCGCCGCCCGCCCCCAGCGCCAAGGCGGAAGCGCTTTAGTGCACCGGGACCGAAGGGGACCCGCAGGGGGATGTTTGCGGGGTGCCTGTGGGGGATGGCCAGAGTGGTGGCTTTTAGAACCCCAGCGGGGAAGACCCGATCACAAGACTGAAGGCCTGAGAACAGAATTCCAGGAATATCCCAAAGGGTCTCCGTAGGCTGAGAGAGGAGGTGGGATCAGGCATTCCTCACCCTGGAGCTGGGATGTGTCCCGGACAGGTGGAGGGCCAACCGCGTAAACTTACCCAGAGGTGGGACCCGAACCCCCTAGCCCTCAGGCGCCAGGTGGGGGCCGGTTGGGGGCTGAGGGAGAAGCTCCCTGGTGTGCAATGGCCCAGGTCTGGACTGGCCAGCTGTAGTGCCACCTGCCACACGTCGGCGAGGCAGGGGCAAGCACATTCCCAGTGCAAAGGCAATGCCTAGCACTTAGTGGCCATTCAGTACAGAGTTTTGGAAGGAGTGAATGGTTCTATGGTCCTGACCGTGAGTGTCCCACTGCGTAGGGTGCTGTTATGGCCCGCCTGTTCCTAACGGGGATGTGTAAGATGGTCAGGGGCTGGGCCCAAGGGGCGTGGTCCCAGCTGAGGTTTGGTGGCTTGGGAAGGGCCTGGGGCAGGGAAGAGCAAAGCCTGCTGCTCCGACTCTGGGCCTGGGGCATGCCCAATGGCTCCTCATCATGGCAGTGTCACAGAAGAGAAAAATGAAGGACCGACCATCTCACATGGTCTCATTGTCTTTTTTCAGCTTCCCTTCCTGATCTCTGTCTCTGGATCCATGGTCTCCAGGTCTCTGTGCGCTCTTGGGGACCATTTGCCCCAGGACCAGGATGAGGAACTTTGGCCACGAGCAAAGCAACTGCCCACACCCAATTCTCCTTTCCCCTCTTACAATGCAATTCATCTCTTTCCACACATTCCCCTCAACCTGTAGCCCCCAAAAGTCACTCCTCATGCTTTTCCAAAGCAGAACCCAGAGCTTCAGCCCAGAGCTGTAGCTTGCACTGTATTTTCCCACAGGAGGGGGTGTTGGGGTGCTAGGGTTGGATAGGTGGGAGGAAAAAGGGGGGACCTAGCTAATTCTGTAGGAGGATGAACTATGTGTACCTGCCTCCCAAGGCTTGTGGGGTTCTCTGAGCTCAGAGATGTGTTTCCTTTTCCAGAGCTGGCTGTGTTCACCCTGGCTTCCAGTTACTCCTCTTTCCAGGTTTTGTTTAATCCCTTTCACTTGGCAGGAGCTCCAATTGTAACATCACGGAAAGACCGGTGGAGGTGATGACTCCGTTTACCTGGGGAACACATTTGGTATCGGTTAGTGTTCAGCCAGGGCTCCGACTTGTGGTCCAGGTCTTTGATCATAAACCATGCTGTGTGCCCATCCTTCAATCAACTCTCAGGACCAGGCAAAAGCCAAATCAGAACAGTCTTCCTAGGCCCCCTCTCTGACCCACACCAGCCCTAAGTGCCCTCCTTTCTCTCTGTAATGCCTGCCTGGCTCCTCCCCCCACTTTAGCCTGGCCAATGTGGCTCAGTGATTGAGCATGGACCTATGAAGCAGTAGTTCACATGTGTTGGGCAGGACACATGCCTGGTGTGCGGGCTCAATCCCCAGTAGGGGGTGTGCAGGAGACAGCCAGTCCACGATTCTCATCATTGATGTTTCTATCTCTCCCTTTCATTCTGAAATCAATAAAAAACAAAATAAAACAACAACCCCAAACCTACCTTACCCATGGGGAAGAGTCATTTGCTTCTTCCTCTTTGCCACTTATCAAATCTGAGACCAACTCAAGTGAGCACACCTTCTCCAGGAAGGCATCCTAGAGTACCATGCCTGTATCAGAGAGCCACTGTCTGCAGGGACGGACCTGCAGAAACACTGGCGCCCGTGGGGCCAGGTGCCTGAGGGGCGGGGCAGACACATACTGCAGAGACAGGAATGGAATTTCTGTATCACAGCTTGTTATCTCCCACAAGTGGCCTGTGTTCAGTGATCAAAGCAAACACCTGGATTGGTAGGACGTGGGGTTAATGAGGCCTAACCGCAGCTTTTCTCCTCCAAGCAAAATCATGAGGATGCCTGCTCTCTGACCCCAGGTGACGGAACCTCTCACAAATGGGTGCTTTGGGTCACAGCGGGGATAGGGCCAAGCCCATCAAACGTGCGTGGCCTGTTGACCAGGTCGGGATGGCACACATTAACCCACTAACCAAGCCTCCTGTGTGATAGGCACTGTGTCAGACATGAGGGATGCTGTGATGAATAAGCCACTGTATCGATCAGCTTGGGCTGCCATAGTAATATACCACTGGGGGCTTACCCAATGCCGTCTGGAGGCTGGGAAGTTCAAGATCAAGGTGCTGGCAGGTTTGGTCCCTGGTGAGAGCTTCCTGCCTTGCAGATGACCTTTTCTCTGTGTCCTCATATGGTGGTGGGTGGTCGGGGGAGGGAGAAAGGGCCTAAAACACTGCTCTGGTCTCTCCCTCTTCTTATAGAGACACGAATCTCATAGAGACACTAATCTCACTTATACCTCATCCATCCCTGTCTCCCAAAGGCCCTATCTCCAAATGCCATCACATTGGGGGTCAGGGCTTTAAAATATGATTTTTTTGGGGGGAGGGTAGGGGAGGAGAGACATGATTCAGTCAACAGCAATCACAGTCTCCCCTGAGGAGCCCATTGACCTTCACAGAATATCGCTTTCATGCACACACAGTTTGGAACAATCTATATGGTCAGCTCTTGAACAAGTTGTCCCAGCCCTGGCTCTCTTCTTGTTCATCTCATTTGGTCTCACCACCAGGCAGGTATATTATTGATTTTGCTTTTGAAAACCTGGCCATTTTTAACGCTCCCCATGTCCCCTGTCGCCTGCAAGAGACATGACAGCTAGTGGTAAAAAAGCTGGAGCTGGGAGGTATGGCTGTCCTATGATCGGAGCTCCAGCACCCAGGCAGAGGGTGGGTGTGGGGTGTCACCAGTGGTTAGGGATCCTGTCATCAGTGCCATGGGAACTCTGCCCTTAGCCCTGGGTGCCGTCCACCTTGCTGGATTCATTTCTTGGGGTTTCCAAGAATTCTCTCCCTGTTGCCTCTATTTGAAATACCAATCTCCTTGGCATGTCTAACCCACAAAGTCCCATCTGCCCCAGGCAGGTGCCTCTGAGCAGCATGGATGCGGTCCCGAGAGGTGAGAATGCCCTAGGTGAACCTTTTGGGGCAGACAGTCCATGGAGCAAGCTGGGAGTAGGGGTTGATTTTACTGCTGGGTGGACCCCACCTGGAATCCTTCAGTTCTCGGGGCTCTCAGAGGCACAGGGGGGAACCTCGTGAGCTGGGAGAGTGCCACCTGGCCCGCCACGTCCCTGCCTGCTGTGAAGAGCCCTGCCTTTCAGAATCCCAACTGCCTGGCCTTGCAGAATGCCAACGGCTCCCGGACCTGGCAGCTACAGAGGTGCCACGGAGAACAAGGCTGGTCCATGTTCTTCTAGAACTTTCAGTTTTAAGAAGTCACTTTCCCTTCCCAGCTCAGTTTCTTTTTTATTTAAAAAAATATATTTTATTGATTTTTTTCACAGAGAGGAAGGGAGAGGGACAGAGAGTTAGAAACATCGATGAGAGAGAAACATTGATCAGCTGCCTCCTACACTGGATATGTGCCCACAAACTATGTACATGCCCTTGACCGGAATCGAACCTGGGACCCTTGAGTTTGCAGGCCAAAGCTCTATCCACTGAGCCAAACCAGCTAGGGCTGGCTCAGTTTCTTTATCCATGATATGCAAATTCGGAGGCATTGTCTCACCCTGGATGGCACTGTGACTTCTGTTCCCAGTTACCACACCAGGTTTCTGTTTCTGGGCGGCAGGCCTGCCTTCCCACGGCCTGTACCCCTCAGAGCGGGAAGCTGCTCTGAGCTTCAGTCTGATTTCATGTTCTCAGCTATAAAACGGGGTAATAACACCTGCGTAACCTGGACGGCGCAAGGTTATTAGAAGGCTCCCGCTGGGTAATACATGGGAAGGGCCCTCTCTGTAAAGAGACGAGTCATGTATAAGTAAGGTGTATTATTATGAAATGGCAGCAGCCAACTGGCTTTCAGCCCAGCCCTGTCCACACCAGCTGCTTCCCCGGTTTTATGAGTTTTCTTTGGGTTCACTTCTGAGGAGGCCGGGACCACAGGGGTGTAATTCCTTCTTCCAGTCCTCCCGGACATAACCCGGACACACAGGAGGACAGGCTCTGGCAGAGCTGTCCACTGTGCCTCCCTTGCTGTGTCCCACCCAGCTCCCCCGCCACCCCAGGCTCCGCCAAGGGCTGCATTCACCCCCACCCCCTTCTCTCTCCTGCAAAAGGGAAACATTTGCTCCCTGGTCCCTTTTCCCAGCTTCTGGGTGGGTTTGTGGGCCTGGCTAGGGAGAAGCTAACTGCTAAATTGGGGGGGGGGGGAGTGTGTCTCAGGAATCCTGAAATGGAAATATCTGGGGCAGGAGGACCCGGGGGCTTGGGGTGACCTGCTCAGAACCAGCGCCAGCCTAGCTCCCCGCCTTTGTCCGCAGCCGGTGGCTGGCGCGTGGGTCCTCCCCGCCTCCAGGGGCTGCTGTGTGGCTGCAGCGGCGGCGGCTGCGCTGCGGGGACCTTTAAAAATGGCTATCATTCTTCACAACAGCTAGCATGCTGGTCTGAAGCATCTGCGTGTGAAATACGTCCGGATCCCCTGGTTAAGGGGTCTGCAAACTCGTTAGTCAACAGAGCCAAATATCAACAGTACAACGATTGACATTTCTTTTGAGAGCCAAGTTGTTGTTTTTTTTTTTTTTTAAAACATAAACTACATAGGTAGGCACATTGTTATTAACTTAATTAGGGTACTCCGAAGCTGGCCTTTGCTAAAAACTCAAGGGGCCAAAGAGTCGCAGGTGGCTCGTGAGCCGCAGTTTGCCGACCAGCGCCCTCGTTGGAGAATATGTAGAATGCTACCGGGGGTCTGTTGTACCGGGTTTGGCAGCCAGGGTGCGATGACCTTCCAGAAACAAGGAAGGTCTGCTCCACGCGGCTCTGCCTCTGCGGCTGGAAACTGCACGCTCCGGCTTCAAGGGAAAATAGCCAACTCCAGGCCCCGAGCCTCTGCTCCGGAGCAGGGGTGCTCGCAGCTGTCCGAAGGAGGAAGGCTGGTGACAGGACCAGCGCGGGGAGCAGAGGAGGGGGTGCTGTCCAGGGGGACCCCGTGGCACCAGGGGCTGGCTGATATCTCACGAGGCCTTGGACATGGCCCATCACGGGCCTACCTGGTCCCTGCTGGTCACCGCCCGAGAGAGACCACCCAGGTAGTCGGGTCTGCAGAAATCCACACGTGAGAGAAACCGCAGAGCACAGCCCGTCTACGCCGCTTACCTCACGATGGGAAAACGGGGGTCAAATGCTAAGGGCCTCGGTCAAGCCCACACTGTCAGACTAGACCCCAGCCTTGGCCCCGAACTGGGTTCTGTGTCTTGTCTCCAGACGACAGGAGCCTCGGTGCCACTGGGGAGGGGCGCCATGAGGCGCTTCGTGCACTTCCCTGAGAGCCTGCCGGGGGCCAGCAGCTCATAGACCCTCCAAAAGAAGACTCCAGTCACCATCTCTTCCATGTGCAAGGTGCTCTGCGCACGCGGTCCTCGGAGACCCTGCGCGGGCCAGGCTCCCTAGAGGCAGAGTCTCTGACTCCAGCGCTCTTGGCGGCCACCTCTCAGGACCCACGGGAACCACCTGAAGGAGCTCAGCAGGTCCGGCCTCACTGTGGGCTGAGCGAGCAGCTCGGGCTGCTTCCAGGGGCTCCCATCCCCATCCCCCAGCTCCAAGCAGCAGCCGTGGTCCGCAGTAGATGGGGTGGCTCCGCTAATTCATTGCTATGCCTTTTGAGTTATGCTTCCTACAGCCCTTGGACACACACCGTGTTTCCTTGAACATGACTGGAGAAACGATGGAGGTAGCTGGAGGTCACCGCCCTGTTCCCAGCTGAGCCTCCAAGGACCACTCCTCACACCAGCTGATGCCAACAGAACATTTATTCCACTCGGTCAGCCCCTTGTGGCATCAGTGGCCTGCGGAAGTATCCAGCCTGGATGACCCTTTAGGCAGTCTTGAAAAGCCTGGGACAGAGGGAGGGTGGGGAGTCCCTCCTGTCCCACTGATATCTCACGAGGCTGACTGATATCTCACGAGGCCTTGGACATGGCCCATCATGGGCCTACCTGGTCCCTGCTGGTCACCGCCCGAGAGAGACAACCCAGGTAGTCGGGTCTGCAGAAATCCACACGTGAGAGAAACCGCAGAGCACAGCCCGTCTACGCCGCTTACCTCACGATGGGAAACGGGGGTCAAATGCTAAGGGCCTCGGTCAAGCCCACGCTGCCAGACTAGACCCCAGCCTTGGCCCCGAACTGGGTTCTGTGTCTTGTCTCCAGACGACAGGAGCCTCGGTGCCACTGGGGAGGGTGGGGAGTCCCTCCTGTCCCACTGCCCAAGTAGGGATGGGACCTGAGGCCTCCTATGGCCATTATTGCCCCAGGGGCAGCCCAATAAAATGCCCCCAGGAGTGAATTTACATGCCCTCCCCTTTCACACCTCTGTTGGCCCAGAAAGGAACTCACTACAGACTGATTCATTTGCCTCTCAGCATAACCATTATGGCTTGTCTCAGTTCCGGTCCTTATAAGGGAATTCTTTGTATCACATGACCTAACGCATCTAGGGGAAATAATGAGCAACATAAACTGATGAACAGAAACAGACCTGGAGACAGAGAAGCAGCGATCAGACTGTCAAACCTCGGAGGGAAGGTAGGGGAGGGTGGGGGCAAAGGGGAGAGATCAACCAAAGGATTTGTGTGTATGCATATAAGCCTAACCAGTGGTCCTGGACAACAGGGGGTGGGCATACATGGGGAGGGGTTTGGGATGGGAATGGGGGGATGAAGACAATTGTGTGACACCATAATCAATAAAGAAATAATAATAATAATAATAATAAATAAAATAAAAGAAATATAATAATAATAATGATAATAATAATAAATAAATAAAATAAAAGAAAGAACCTAAATAGGCTGCATTTACTCCAGACTTTTTGTAACAAATGCCAATAGGAGAGTGGCGCCCTCTAGTGCACACTTGGAGAACTGTCGTCAAATGAATTTGTAGAGGGCTGTTTCTCTGGTGCCCTGAGGCCTGCCTGTCACCTTTATATTAGAATGTACCAGCAGGAACCATGTAAATCGCCAGTAAATATTTGTTGAGTGAGTAAATAGAACAACGAGGCTTTTTGGAGTGCCCTATGGAAGTGAGTAAAAAAAAGCAGACGTGTGAAAGTAAACTGTCCCTTTAGGGACAGAATGAAAATTGATGGCAATTATAGGGGACAAGAGAAAATGGGAGGCAAAAAAAATGCAATGTTTTTTTTTTTCCTTTCTTTTTTCCCTGGGTTTCTAGAGGAAATACAAAGAAACACAGAGTAACGTTCCAAAGAGAATTAGCCAAAATGCCAGGGATAAAAGTTTTTCCATAGAAACCTAAAACATTCTACAAGGGAAGAAGCTGGGAACTGGGTGATGCTGGCTGAGCTGCCCACAGGACGAGAGAGAAGGTGTGGAGCAAGAGTTGGAAAACCCACCACCACCTCCTGGAGGCGGAAAAGAGAAATGAATCGAGTTGATGCCCGAGGGTGGAGCCTTCCAGGACCCAGTCCTCCTTACTAAGGGGGGTCAGTGGGGTGGGGAATGGTCCCATCAAAAGGTAGCCCCTAGCCCCAAGCCCTGGATGGCAGGAACAGTTTCCCTTAAGCTTCCTCACAAGACCTCCCCAGGAGAAGGTGAATCCCTGGGGACGGCCCTGGTCACCTGCTGACCAGCCCTGAGTGGCTGGGGGCTGAAGGACTGGGGGACCCTAGAGGCAGGCATACAGAACGGCCGGACCTGCTTGCCATCCCCCGGCAGAGCTGAGAGGACTGGGTGCTGCCATCTTGTGGCTGAGGGCGCCACCATCTTTGAGGGTGTGACAATCAATTAGCATATTCCCTCCTTATTGGCTGTGGATGCCGCCATTTTTGTGAAGACTTGATAGTCAATTAGCATATTCCCTCTTTATACGCTAGGACTAGAGGCCTGGTGCACAGGATTCGTGCACTGGTGGGGGCCTTGGCCTGCAGGGATCACCCAACTGTTCATTCCTGTCAGCCATGTGGCTTTGGACCTGCCCTCTGAGCGGCTGCTCCTTGGTCTGGCATCTTCTGTGGAGCTGGAGCACTTGCCTCTTCAGGGACATTTGTTACAAAAAGTCTGGAGTGATTTCAACATGCAGCCTATTTAGGTCCTGGAAGGCTCCACCCTCAGGCATCAACTCGATTCATTACAAGATCAGAAGATTTACTCACAGAAGGTGGAGCCCTCTGCTGCTGCCACTGCTGGCAGTGCAAGCTTTGGTGAGCTCAAGTTCACGAAATGACAAGTCTGCTCTCCTGGATGAACCCCAAGGACATGACACGAAGCAAAACAGCCAGTCTCGAATGGACAAACACTGCCTGGTTCTTCCAGGGTGAAGCCTCTAAGGCCACCAGAATCACAGGAACGAAAAGAGGAAGGAGGTTGCGGGGCTGGGGGAGGGAAGGAGAGTCGAGTGGCGTTCCAGTGTTGCAAAAACAGGCTCCCAGCTCTTTGCACAACCACGTGAGCGTGCCTCACACTGCTGAACTGTGCATCTAAAAATGGCTGAGACAGTCCATTTAATGTGTTGGCTACTTTTTTTTTTTCTCCCACAGTAACATAAAACTTGAAAAAGTCTTGCTCCACGTACAAATTCTTTCTGTCCCAGGAAGCGTTGAGACACCATGGCCTCGCACAAAGCATGGACGATGGGGCCTGGGAGGGAATGCTTTGCCTGGGAAGCAGCATTTGTCTGAGGCCTGAGCTGCCCCGGCCAGGGATTCAGGGACGCCTTCCCTGAAGAGGGGTGAGGGATTGTTACCGGGCGCCGGACAGGCTGCTTCAGGGTGGACAGAGGTTGGGGGGCTGGTGGTGGGAACGGTGTCTTCATCGAAGCCACTAAAGGTCCCCTGTTTCTGACCTCAGTGGCAGGAAGCCGCCTACAGCGCCTGCTTCGCCCCGAGCCTGATGAGGCCTCTCTAGGGGCCCTCTGCAGCTCCTCCTGGGCCTGCACCCCCTCACCTGCCTGCCCCTGTCCCATGTGCCTGACCCTGACTGTGACTTCGCAGTGAACTTCTGTGCTGCTGAGGGTGCGAAACCGAAAGCCACAAACCCATTTCTAGAAACCTCTTTCTGCTGGGAAAGGATGTTTATCAGAAAGACCTTGCAGAGCTGATCCCGCCCTGCTTTCCTGTTTTCTCACACCAGCCTCTGTAGGATTCTGTTTGCCTGAGAGGAACGAGCAGCTGCTGCACCCGCCACGCCATGGAGCAGGCCCGCTGTGGAGGCTCTGAGGCCGAGGCCGAGGCCGGCCTGGGGACAGGACCAAGGTATGTGGTTAGGGAGGGGCCTGCACCACCAGGACGCCAGCCCAGAGCGGGCAGAGCCACCCAGAGGGTGCCATCTCAGGGTCTCTTGGAGGGTTCCTCCTTAGTCAGGCCTGGTCTTCCCAGCCCGGGGCGTGGGGTGGGGCAGAGGCTCCCCTTGTACTGGTAAAAACTGTTTTTCTTTCTTCACATGCCACTCATGGGCACTCATTTAACGCCGTTTGTGGGGTCCCTTTCCACGTCCCGCGTGGTTCAGGGTTCTTCAGGGTTCCGTGTTCTGGAGAAGGACGCACACAAATGAAAAGAGTCTGGAAAAGAGTTAATTTGGGAAAATGGGGGTAGGGGGTAGGCGGGAGTACACCTCTAGGGGGAGGACTACCCACTGCTCTGGCCTTTTGCCATCGCTTTTATTGAGGTTCTGAGATACACCCACATCCTTTAGGCAGGAAATTCCAACAATAGAAAATCAGCGTAGTATTCCATTGTGTAGATGTACAACAGTTTTCTAATCCACTCACCTGCTGATAGGCACGTAGGCTGTTTCCAAATCTTAGCTATGGTAAACTGTGCTGCTATGAACATAGGGGAGCATACATCCTTTCTGATTTGTGTTTCTAGTTTCTTAGGATATATTCCTAGATGTGGGATCACTGGGTCAAATAGAAGTTTCATTTTTAGTTTTTTGAGGAAACTCCATACTGTTCTCCATAGTGGCTGCACCAGACTGCATTCCCACCAGCAGTGCATGAGGGTTCCTTTTTCTCAGCATCCTCGCCAGCACTTGTTTATTGATTTGTTGATGATAGCCATTCTGACAGGCGTGAGATGGTATCTCGTTGTTTTGATTTGCATCTCTCAGATGATTAGTGACTTTAAGCATGTTTTTTTTTCTTTTTCTTTTTAAAAAAATATATACTTTATTGATTTTTCACAGAGAGGAAGAGAGAGTGATAGAGAGTCAGAAACATTGATGAGAGAGAATCATCAATCAGTTGCCTTTTGCACACCCCCTACTGGGGATGTGCTTGCAACCAAGGTACATGCCCTTGACCAGAATCGAACCCGGGACCCTTCAGTCCCCAGGCTGACACTCTATCTACTGAGCCAAACCGGTTTCGGCTGAGTATGTTTTCATATGTCTCATGGCCTTCTGTGTGCCCTCTTTTGAAAAGTGTCTATGTCCTTTGCCCATTTAAAAAAAAATATATTTTATTGATTTTTGTACAGAGAGGAAGGGAGAGAGAGAGTTAGAAATATCGATGAGAGAGAGTCATTGATCAGCTGCCTCTTGCACACCCCCTACTGGGGATATGCCCGCAACCAAGGTACATGCCCTTGACTGGAATCGAACCCGGGACCTTTCAGTCCCCAAGCCGACGCTCTATCCATTGAGCCAAACCGGTCTCGGCCCTTTGCCCATTTTTGATTGAATTGTTTATCTTCCTTTTGTTAAGTTGTATGTAAATTTTTGAGATCAAACTCTTACCTGAAATAGCATTGGCAAATATGTCCTCCAATGCAGTGGGCTTTCTTGTTGTTTTGTTATTTTACATATTTTTAAATCCTTAACGGAGAACATGCTTAGAGAGAAGAAGGGAGAGAGATAGAAACATCTATTGATTGCCTTCTGTACGTGTCCTACTCAGAGACTGAACCCAAAACCTGGGCATGGGCTCTGACAGAGTTGACCTGGCAACCTTTCGGTGCACAGGACGATCTTCAACAAACTGAGCCACTCCAGCCAGGCTGTTCAATATTATTCTGTATTGGTTTCAGGTGTACAGCATAGTGGTTTGACAATCATATATTTTATAAGACACGGTTCTCTTAAAAGGTATGAACTGTTAAATAATAAGGGCTCATTCTTCACTTTCTTCAGCTGCATTTCTTTGTTCTTCAAGGCAAAAACCATCTTCTTGGCCATAAGCAAGTATTTATCAAAGGCCTTCTCTATGTTGTTTGTAGATACCGGGGTGAACAGATCAGGGTAAGTCTCCATTCTGCTGGAACTTGCCCTTTAGTGGTGGGGAGATAAAAGAAAAGCGATAAGCAAGTAAACACACAGTGTGAAAGATAGTAGCAGTGAGTGCTGGGCCGAAAAATAGAGCAGGGTGTCAGGGACTGGGAGAGCAGGGGCTGGGGGGGAGGGGGGGGAGGAGTAGGGATGGTCAGGAAAAAGGGGAGGGGGAAGTCTTAGATATAGGGTGACTGAAGGCCTTCCGTGCCACAGGGACGATGCAGGAGAGACCTATTGGAAGTGAACCTGCCTTACACAAGTCCGGGGACTTGCTCAGATGAGCAGCCAGCAAAACCCCCGGAAGTCCCATGTTTGGGACCAGCAGGAAGGTTGATGTGACAAAGCCAGGTGGAGAGGGGCGGGGCTGAGGTCGGGGAAGCAGCCAGGGCCGGAATTGGGTGGGGTCTTGGACCACTATAAAGCCTTCGCCTATTACTTTGTGTGGGTGGGAAGCCGTTGGTGGACTTTGGACCGATAAGGGATATCTGTCTTGCTCTAGGCCAGCGGTTCTCAACCTTCCCAATGCCGCGACCCTTTAATACAGCTCCTCATGTTGTGGTGACCCCCAACCATAAAATTATTTTCGTTGTTGCTTCCTAACTGTAGTTTTGCTACTGTTATGTATAGCCATGTAAATATCTGATACGCAGGATGTCTTAGGCGACCCCGGGAAAGGGTTGTTCGAGCCCCAAAGGGGTCGCGACCCACAGGCTGAGAACTGCTGTTTTAGACTCTGGGAGAAGGTTGGAAGCTGAGAGACCAGAGGTAATGTTATTGCCGAAGTCCAGAAAAGAGCGGATGACCAGTTTAATCTGGAAAAATGGGGAAAGGCCAAGGGTGAACCTGAGTGGGGGCGCTGAAAGGCTTAAAAAAGACAAGAGAATGAAAGCTGGGTCTCTGTGGGACTCTGCTTCTCTGAGAGATAGTGACCACGCCCACAAGCCTTTATTTTATAGCAGATAAAATATCTTTATTTTATATCTTTATTTTATAGCAGATGCCACAAGGCGTGATCAAAATGTTTACAACATTCTCGTGGGTTTCAGCCTTACTCAACTACATGCTCCTGAACTCTATCAATCCCACATTACTCAGGCATGAGGGGCCATGTGTTCCGACCTTAGGTTCAAGTTTATAACGATAGCTGTTGGCTGTAATTGTGCTGGGAGGCCCTGCCCTCCAAGCTGGGCCTTGCCAGTGGCAATGAGAGGACTGTGCTCTCTCATCTGTCCAAGGCTTGGACGTATCCAGACACTGTAGCTGCTCCCCACAAAGTGGAGTGGTGAAGAATGGGAAGGAATCTTCCAGGAGGACCAGAGGAGAGGGGTGCAGGGAATGACATGCTGGGCATTTTGGGGACCTGGAGCTGAGGTGGCAGATGCAGGCGGGGGTCCCTGACTGTGAAAAGCACCCACAGTTACACGCTACTTGCTCTTTTCAAGTCCACACAAAACATTTACAAAAATTTTATTGGGCCAAAAAGTAAATCTCAACCAATGACAAATATTTTATGCAGATGTTCGCTGAACACAGTCTGCTAGCATTAGAAATAAATAAAAAAAGATAGCTACTCTCCCAATATATTTTTAAATTTAATAATCACTTCTCTTAATTATGGACCAAAAAGAAATCATAGTTGATTTGAAATTAGAGCATATTTAAAACCAATCAACATCTGTGAGTGCCTTGGGTGGGGCCTGGATGAGGCTGGTGGACCTATTGGGAAATGTCTTTTGTGTGAAGTGTATCATTGGGCATGTGGAGGTATTATTGATTTGAGAAAATGCTAAGTAACTGATTTACTATCTGAAAAGGGATTTACTATTGGGGAAAGGGAGGGAAGAAGAGACTGAACATAAACTGCACCTATGGATGAGGACAATGGGGGATGGGGAGGGGTCGGAGGGTGGGGTGGGAACCTGGTGGAGGGGGGAAGAAATGAGGAACCTTTGTAATAATATGAACAATAAAGATTGATTAAAAAAAAATAAAACCGATCAACAAGAAGAATGAAGGGAACAACACTCTGAAGATGTCAGTTCTTTTTGAACTAAGCTACAAATTGAACCAATGGCATTCAAAAACTCCACTAGGAATTCCCAAAGAAAATGACTACTGATTTTAAAAGCCCTCTGAAGATTTGAAAAGCCAAGAAACAGTGAGATAATTCTGAGCTATAGCAAGGTGTTGGGATTGCTCCATCAGGTCACTGAGGCCTATTTGAAAGTTACACTGATTAAGTCATATTGGTTTTAGTAACAAAGACATTGTGGCTCAGGAATAGACTGAGAGTTCAATGGACATAGCAGAGAACCTGAACATATGGGCACCTGGTACCTGATGCTGCGAAAGTTGGCTCTTCCTGCAGAGTCCGACTCCGTTAAGAATGCACATTTTCAACTAATGGTGCTTCTCAGGCTTGCATTTCATGGAAACCACCTGGAAATTGTTGAACTACAGATTCTGATTTAGCAGGTCTGGGGTGGGGGATTTCTTATGCGAATCCAGTTGTTTGCAATCTGGGAATCATACTTGGAGTAGCAACAGCTTAAATTTTAAGAGTACAAAGTGTTTATTTAACAAAGAGGTGGTTTGAGGGAGATCTGGCAGCTTAGGGATGTCATCAGGGACCCTTTATCTTTCTGCTCTGCTCTCCTTTGGCTTGAATGGTGCATGTTGACTTTTGTTTTCTTATTTGTACCTCGTTGCCCCAGGATGGCAGCTGCAGTTCCAGACATCACGTTTAAGTTCCATGCCGAAAGAAGGGGGAGAGTGATAATAGGAGCCCTCTGCTGGAGAATGCCCCTGTCATCAAGAAAACAATAGCGTTTTCAGCCCTGGCTGGGTCACGCTGCTGGTTAGAGCATAGTCTCTTACACCAAGGTTGTGGGTTTGATCTCCTCTCAGGATACATACAAGAAGCAACCAATAAATACATAAATAAGTAGAACAACAAATCAATGTTTCTTTCTCTCAAATCCAAAATAATAATAATTAATAATAATAATAGTAATAAAGAACATGGCATTTTCAGAAGGCCCAAGCAAATGTTCCCTCAACTGTCACCAACTAGATATGGGTCACATGGACACCCCTATTTGGAAGGTTGGCTGAGAGACTGAGTATATTAGTGTCTTGTTGCTGTTATAACACATTGTGACTAAAGCCCCCCACAAATTTATTATTTCAGAGTTCTGGGGGTTGGACGTCTTAACATCAAGGCACTGAGCAGGACTGTGATCCTTCTGGGGCCTCTATGGGAGAATCTGTTTCCTGGCCTTTCCCAGCTTGTAGAGTTGGCCTCTGTCATCAAAGCCAGCAGGGTAGCATTTTCAAATTAGCAAATCTCACTCTCTGATCCTCCCCAGCTCTGTTTTCACATCTTTTTCTCACTCTGACTCTCCTGTCTCTTCTTTTAAAAAATATATATTTTATTGATTTTTCTACAGAGAGGAAGAAAGAGGGATAGAGAGTTAGAAACGTCGATGAGAGAGAAACATTGACCAGCCGCCTCTTGCACACCCCCTACTGGGGATGTGCCCGCAACCCAGGTACATGCCCTTGACCGGAATCGAACCTGGGACCCTTCAGTCCACAGACCGACGCTCTACCACTGAGCCAAACTGGTTTCGGCAAGAACACATTTTCTTGCTGTTCCTCTGTTTACTCTGCATGTGAATTGGACCTTGATGTGTTGCTCTTTGTTCCAACAGGACCAGCGGGAGCCGGTGCCAGGAGGATGCTGCGGTGCAGGGCTGCTCCCGGGGGCCCCTGAGGCTTCTCCTCTTGGGGAAGGATAGGGCAGGAAAAAGTGCCACAGGAAACACCATTCTGGGCAAAGAGGTGTTCCTGTCCAGATTCAGTGAGAAGCCGGTGACTGAAACGTGCCAGAGAGAGAGTGGGACCGTGAGAGGGGAGGAGGTTGTGGTCATCAACACCCCCAACCTTTTCTCCTCAACAGCTTGTGTCAACGACAAGCAAGGAGCCATTAAACACTGCTGGGAGCTTTCTGCCCCCAGCCTGCATGTCCTGCTTCTGGTGATCCCCATCGGCCACTATAACGAGGAGGACAGAGAGACAATCGAGGGCATCCAGCAGGTGTTTGGAGCGGGAGTCTGGAGGTACATCATTATCATCTTCACTCGGAAGGATGATTTGGATGTTAATTCCATGGAAGATTACTTTCAAGACCACACATCGCTTGGAAAGTTGGTTGAAAACTGTGGAAGACGCTACTGCGCTTTCAACAACAAGGCAAGTGAGGCTGAGCGGGACAGCCAGGTGGGAGAGCTCCTCTCCATGATCAAGTGTTTGGTGGATAAGAATGGAGAACCCTATCCCGTAAATTTCAACAATGAAGGCAATGGATCCCAGGTGAGAATTCTCATTCCGGTCTCCAAGGATCTCTGGGTTGTTAGAGAGAGTGGGATGAAGATGGGCAGAGGCATGTGAAAAGGTTCCTAGGCCTTGTTTAAGGAGATATCCTACCTAATAAAAGAGAAACACTCAAATTGACAGTGCCTTCGCTATGCCCACAAGCTGCGCCCACCAACCAATCAGGGCAAGTATAATATACAAATTAACCCAACCAAGATGGCGGTTAATTTGCATATCCAGGACAGAGTGAAGACTGCGATGGCTTAGAAAGAAGCCAACCGCTGCAGAAGCAAGCAAGCAGAGCAGGGGAGAAGGAAGGCAAGCAGTGGGGCCTTGGGAAAAGGGAGGAAAGCAGGTGGGGTGGCGACTGCAGCAGGAAGCTCTATTGCAGAAATCTTCCTGCAAGGGGCCACTAGTCTATTCATAATCTGGAAAGATGAGGCACCAGAAGGTAGGTTACTTTGGATATTAAACTTTGGACTTTATTGGTGAATTCATGGATACAGTTAAGTCCTTGCCTGACTTTACCTTTCATAGTCTTGGACACCAATGACTCATTAGACCCCCTTGGCTTCAATAAAACCATCCTCTTCTTTCTCTCCCCACCCACCTCATCCATCCTTTCTGGCCACTCGGGGTATTGCTGAGTCCTCCTCGAACGAACTCTAAAAGTCGGCATCTACAGGGCTTGGTTCTAGCCTTCTAGCCTGTCCTCAATTCTCTACACTCTCGCTTGGGTGATCCCACATTTTACAGCTTTGAGCTCCATCTATTTCCAACAGTTTCAAAATTAGCAGCCCTTGTCTAGGTCTCCTCTGAGTTCTGCCCCTTTTATGCAATTGCTACTTGACATCCCCTCTGCGCTCTCATAAAGGACCCCAGACTGAACATGTCCAAACTCTCAGTTTTCCCCCTTAAATCTGTACGATTACTGTTTTCTTCTCAACTTGGTAAATGGTTGTGCTGCCTACTACGCTCTTCAAACCCAAACCCAGGAGTTGGCTTTTATACCACAGCTGGCATCTGCTGCCCAAGAAATTCTCAAGTCTGTGGTCATGCCTGGCACCCACCTGCTTCTCTCCACCTCCGCAACCACCATCGGTACAAGACAGCCTCCTCTCTTGCCCGGAGTATTTTACAAATAATCTCCTAACAACTTTCCCTTGTTCATTCTTGGGCCTTATATCCCCACCCATTTTATATCCCCACACAATAGCCAGAGTGACATTTTATTTACTTAAAAAAAAAAAAAAAACTTGAAGAGTGTATTCAGAAGTAAGGAATGCAAGCTTTTGCCACTGAGGAGCTTATGCTACAACTGGAGTGACTTATGCATAAGAAACAAAGTAATGATTGACTCGGTATAACTAAGCTTATGTTAGTATAGAAAATTCTATAAATACTAGGGGCCTGGTGCGTGAAGTTCGTGCACTGGGTGTGTGTGCGTGTGGGGTGTCCCTCAGCCCAACCTGCCCCCTCTCACATACTGGGAGCCCTCAGAAGATGTCCTACTGATGGCTGGCCTCCCTTTGTGGGAGGCAACCAGGCTGAACAGGGGAAGGCACCAGTCCCATCACCCCGCTGCTGCAGCCACTGCCAGCCACTGCAGCCACCATGGTGTTTTCATCAACATGGACTCCAGTCCCTTCACCAAGAAAAAATGACAACTTTCTTTACGCATTTTCAAGATGTGTCTTTCATAAGATATGCATTTCTTTATATATATATATATATATATATATATATATATATATATATATATAAAGAAAATTTTTTTTAAATCCTCACCTGAGGATATGTTTCCATTGACTTTTAGAGAATGTGGAAGAGAAAGGGAAAGACAGAGAACAACATCAAAGAGAGAGGGACACTTTGATTGGTTGCCTCCTGCATGAGCCCTGATCTGGGCCCCTGCCAGGGAGAAGCCTGCAACCTAAGTACATGCCCTTGATCAGAATCGAACCCAGACCCTGCTGTCGGCAGGCTGAGGCATTATCCACTGAGTCAAACCAGCTATTGCAGGATATGACATTTCTTAGCCCTCCCACAGCAGATTTTTTTCCTTCAGAGTGTGGTGGAAAAACCCTAGATCACTTTTTTAGATTCTTATTACCCAAGTTACTAAGAATATTTCTAGTGACATACAGGAAGCTTAGACAATGTGCAGTCAGAAAAGGTGTTTCCTCTATAGTTCACACCAATTGTGGGCTGGGCCCCGCCCAGGCCTAAAGCTCTGGCCAAAGCTTTAGGCCTGGGCAGGAGCCTCCAGTTCCCTCTGATCACAGGCTCCACCCCACCTACCCCTGCTCCACTTTCTAGCTTAGGCTTTGAGCCTTGAGCAAAGGACCCCAGACTCCCTGTGATCGCAGGCTCTGGCCCTTGGGCAGGGGACCCCCAGCTCCCTGTGACTGCAGGCTCTGCTCCTGGGCAGGAGTGGACACCCAGCTTCCTGTAATAACAGACTCCGTTCCTGGCCCCTTGTTCTGATTGCAGGTTTGGCCCTGTCCAAGAGCCCCCTGGCTCAGGACGTGCCCAGGCTGCTCTGGGCCCAGGAGGCCTTAACTCACAGTGACCTGGGTGCCAGGATGTTCCTGGGACACAGGCATTGGGTGCTTATGTACGCAAATTAACGGCCATCTTTTTTTTGGGGGGGTTAATTTGCATAGTCATTCTGATTGGCTATGGGCATAACGAAGGTATGGTCAATTTACATATTTGTCTATTATTAGGCAAGATAGGTGCTGAAGAAGGTAAAGCAAACAAAAATACAGCATGGGGGCTGTTGGGTTTGAGAGGATCTTTTTAGAGCTGATAGCCATGTGAGAGAAGCCAGCACTTATTGAGCAACTACTAAATTCCAGACACATACATGAACCCGCTTAGTCTTCACAGCAACTCTATGCATAGATATTCTACAGATGAGGACCCTGAGGCTCAAGAGTTCTGAATTATATGTATTTCAGGGACTGTTGTGAGGAGTAAATGAAATACTTACAAAATAATTTGCAAATACTTGAAACTGGATAAATGTTCAATAATTATAAGCTGCTATTATTCTGATTGTTATAATTATTATAGAAGTGTATGAGGTCCAAATAAATTATGGAGACATTAAGGATTTAATAATCCAGCCCAGCTGGTGTTGCTCTGTGGTTGAATGTCGACACATGAACCAGGAGGTTACTGGTTAGATTCCCTGTTAGGGCATTTGTTTGAGTTGCGGGCTTAATTCCTAGTAGGGGGTGTGCAGGAGGCAGCCAATCGATGTTTCTTTGTCATCGATGTTTCTATCTCTCTATCCCTATTCCTTCCTCTTTCTAAAATAAAAAAAAATTAAAAAAAAAGGATTTAATAATCCAGAGATGGAGTGAAGATTTTCACTTTTAGGACTCTGGCACCAAGACATAAAAATATGTAAAAGTGTATGGACAAGGACCTTTATCACTGAATATTATGGAATAGTAAAACCAGAAATAGCCTGTAAGTCTACCAATAAAGGAAGGATTGCATTAGTTTAAATAGTTGCATATGGAGCTAATTGCATCGACTTGTGTAGATGTGCAGACATGTTAATTATTAAGCTGATTGCAGAACAAAAGAGCCTAACAAGTCTCTCTATGTGTTCATATATGCTTGTATGTATTTGTATAAATGCAGTGTTTCCCAAAGTGTGGCACGCGTACCCCCAGGGGTACGGGAAGAGTTTGGTGGGGGTACGCGTTGCACCGGAGTTTGGTGGGGATATGCACTGCACCGTGCTTAGCCGCGCCTAATTCTATGTTCTCATGAGTACAAGGGGTACTCAGCGTTACGAAAATTATAGAAGGGATACACATATGTCAAAAGTTTGGGAAACACTGGAAAGTTAGGACAACAAAGAAGGATATACAAGTTAACAACTTATTTTTTTGATGGATTGAAAATGGAAAAAATTATTAAGTTGTAGATCATACCTTTGGATTAAAACAAACAAACATGAAATAATTTGAGCTGGGCTGTGGAAAGTGGAAAAAGTCTGATAACCAGAGAGGAATGAGAGGACCCCAGGGAGAGATGATTGATGGCATCAAGGGTTTTGGGTAAGGTCAGGTGAGAAAGCAGGAAATTTGGCTAACATGGAGATTTAACAAAGACAAGGTTGAAATAAAGTACAGGAAACTTCTAGGGATAGCAGATTCATCAAGATTGTATGTCTTTGTTTTTACTTTCTTTTTTTTTTATTGTTGTTAATCCTCACCTGAGAATACTTTCTTCATTGATTTTTAGAGAGAGGAAGGGCGGGGTGGGGAAGAGAGAGAAAGAGAACATCGATGTGAGAGAGACAGCGATTCACTGCCTCCTGCACACACCCCAATTGGACTAGGGATTGTGAACCTGCAACCCAGGTATGTGTCCTTGACTGGGAATTGAACCTTGACCCTTCCATGCATGGGCCAATACTTTAACCACTGAGCACACTGACTAGGGTGTTTTCAACTTTTTTTTTTATAATCCCATGACCAGATTGGGAGCCTGGTTCCCAATGTCCTCAGTCTGCCTTGTCTCATCACTGACATTACTGAGCTGATTTCTTTCTTGAGGGAGCCTAGAAGTTCTCCTTAAGCCTCTGGATTTTCTCGAGGAATAGCAGAAACCTTGGGAGCTTTTGGGAAGAATTACTGTTAGGAACTGTGGAGAAGTGAAGTTAGAGCTTCCGGAACAATGCCTTGCAGATGGCTTTCTGCTTTGAGAGCGAGACCCATCTTGCGTCTGGGAAACCTGTTGAGGCAGCAGCGGCTGTAGGATCTCAAGACTGACTGTCATTATGGACAAGTCTATAATGACCAGGAAGGACCACGACCACGGCCTTGATTTGACCACATCCTAATCATCCAGTTATTCTGAATTATACACCTGTGTCTCCATTTGTTTACTTTGTGAAAAGAAGAAAGTTTATGTCTGTGTACATCATTTCTCCTCTTTATTTTCTAGGTCTGTGTGAAAGAAGCTACCTCTCAGGAGGAGGACTTTCCACATGGTAAGGTGATTCCTTGAAAGAATGTGAAGCTCATATAGACATTCCTTTGAGTGTGCTATGCATCAAAGTGATAAGTCAGAGCAAAAGTGTACCCTGGAGACCTAGCTCATGTTAATGCTTACAACCTGTTCTTAGGGAACTCTGAACCCTTTGAGAAGGTGTAGCACCAGCCAAGGTCCTGTGCCTGGTGTGGGTGTCCCTGACCTCTGCCATGTTACAATGCTGGGCTTGACTGCTGTACCCAGTTGGCCTCTCCTTCCTGGCCCTTAATCTAGCACCACTCAATTTTTGACTCCTCCTAGGAAATCAGAAGTCCCTCCTCCATAGATAACAGTAACTTGCAGAATTCAGTGATGCAGCTCAGTATCCTTGTACTGATTGCCATTAGTGATGTATATTACGCTCTGCACATGCCAGTACATCCAGAGCTACCGAATTCTGTGTAGTAGATGCAATTTGGTCTGTAGGACTGGCATATATAACTAATTCAACCATCTCTTCATGGATATACTTTCAAATTTTTTTCTGGCCCAGCTCTGTGAAAGAACTGAATATGCACAACAAAAATCCCAACACACACACACACACACACACACACACACACACACACACACTACACACACACACAGAACACACACAAACGCACATAAAGAAAGGAAGGAAAAAAGAACTGAATATTCAGTACTAAATACAATAAATGAGCTCTCTGTCCCCCCAAAATTTCCCAAAATAATATTTAAAATGAAAAATTTAATAATCATAATAATTGTAGTTGACATGTGCTAAAAAATTACATGTAATATATATTAATCATTCAATCCTCTTAGTATATACATGCCCCCTACTGGGGATTGAAACTGATACCTAGGCATGTGCCCTGACTGGGAATCAAACCAGTGACCTCTTGGTGCATGGACGATGCTCAACCAACTGAGCCACACAGGCAGGCAAGAAAGGACTTTTTGTAGGATGTAGGCTAGTGAGAGGTGCTCTTGGGGAAAGTAGTAATATTCCGAAGGCAACTCTCCAAGGACATGTAGTCTCTGCATTTCAGCTGCTTTCTTTAAATGCCACATTTACTCCCCTCCTAGATTTGTCATGCAGACATGGAGTGACAGTCTACCTGGATGGCACCCTGGATAGCAGAGCCCCAGTGACTATCCCTGGAGTTGCTGACTCTGCCATTTGCTCAGCACGTAGGTGTGGTGTTGAGCTTTTCTATAAAAACTGACAAGGAAGAGAAGTGATAAAACTTGTCCCTGTCTTTGTGTCCAACTATAAGAAGGGACTTGGAATCTGTCCTCTTGTCCTCTAGGGGAGCAGCTGCAAGGCCACAAGGAGAAGTGGTGGGAATAGGCCATGTGTGGAGACAGAGTTTTGTAGCTCAGGTTTTTACAGAAATTTATTGAGGTATAATTTACATAGAGTCAATACAACTCAATGACTTTTACACATCTACACATACGAGACCACCAACTAGATAAAGATATGGCACGTTTCCAGCTCTTTAGAAGTACTCACTGCCTCTCCCCTAAGAGACTTTTACCAACATCAGTTAACCTTGACTGTTCTTGAACTCTATGTAATGTACTCACATTGCATGTAATTTTGTGTTTGGCTTTTTTTAATTATAATGTTTTGGAGATCTAGTCATGTTGCATATCAGCAGTCCATTCGTTTCTTTTCTTTTTTAATTGCTGAGCTGTATTCAATTTTATGAATATACCACTCAAAGTTATTTTGTTATTATTATTAATATATTTTATTGATTATTATTATTATTATTATTATTTTACAGAGAGAAAGGGGGAGGGATAGGTAGAAACATCGATGAGAGAGAAACATTGATCAGCTGCCTCCTGCACACTCCCTACTGGAGATGTGACTGCAACCAAGGTAGATGCCCTTGACTAGAATTGAACCTGGGACCCTTGTGTCCACAGGCCAATGCTCTATCCATTGAGCCAAACCGGTTAGTGCAGAGTTATTTTATTATTATTATTATTATTATTATTCTTAAGAACAGTTTATTGATTTTTAGAGGGCGAGGAATGGGGAGAGAGAGCAACATCAATGTGAGAGCAATGCATCCATTGGCTGCCTCCAGTATGCTCCCTACTGGGGATTGAGCCTGCAATCTGGGCATGTGCCCTTGACCTGAAATTGAATGAGCAACCTCTGGTGCATGGGATGCCACCCAACCAACTGACCCACACTGGCCAGGGCCATTCACGGTTATTTTAAACTCAGATTCTCCCTGGTCCTGCCTTAGCCAATGGACTTCATGCCCCAGTACTTACTTTTGGTAGCAAAATGAGAGGAATGCTAAGGACCAAGGCCAGTGAAAGCCAACTTTAACATTTTTAACGTTCCAGGGCAACCTCAAGCTCTTGACATACCTCTTCATTTGTTCATGGCCCCTTTCGGGGCTCTTACTTTGATGGATAGCTTCTGGTCCGGACTAGCGTTCTGTAGGGTCAGAGCACTGATGCCATTTTCTATAAAAACAGACAAGGAAGAGAAGCGATAAAACTTGTCCCTGTCTTTGAGTCCAACTATAAGAAGAGACTTGGAATCTGTCCTCTTGTCCTCCAGGGGAGCAGCTGCAGGCCACAGGATCTGAGCCGATCCCTGGGATGCCAGAACTAACGGTCCTGCTTGTGGGGAAGCGTGGCGTTGGAAAAAGCACAGTCGGGAATATCCTTCTGGGGAAGCGAGTCTTTGTGACCGAATTCAGTGACGAATCAGTAACCAAGAAGTTTAAGTCTGAGAGCAGAATCTGGAGAGGGAGGAAAATTTTGATCATTGATGGTCCAGACTTATTATCTTTAAATGACTTTAAATTAGACCTTAGGAAACATGCCCCTGAGGGCCCCCATGCCTTCCTGCTGGTCACCGCACTGGCCTCCTCAACTGAGAAATTCTCACATGAAGAGATTTTGAACACAATCCAAAAATGTTTTGAAGACAAATTAGCTAAGTATATGATTGTGCTCCTCACAAGGAAAGATGATCTAGAGGACCAGAAAGTAGATATGCTTTTAAACAGCAATAAAGCTTTCTACAGTAAGCTTGTAGAGAATCCTAAAAACCAAATCAGCATCTTCAACTCTAGAGTGACAGGAAAAGAGGAACAAAGCCAGGTAGATGGGCTCCTGCAAAAAGTTGTGAAAATGGTGCAACAGAATGGAGACAAGCCTTGCAACTTCAAAAAGGAAGGTAAGAAAACATTTTACATATGCTTTAAAAAAAAGCAGATATAGGCTACAGAGGAACTTTTTTATTTTCTGAAGGGCATAGAGAAGATAAAAAGGACAGGTCCATTCTACTGACTAACTCTTCTCTTTCTCCTTTCTTCTATTTAACTAAACTTAGTTGTCTTTCCTTGCATACTGTGCTGGCCTGATCTTTAATGCTTTCATGAGCCAGGCCTCATCTCTCCAACTGGATGGTGAGGGCCTTGAAGGAAGGAGTTGACCTTTTTCAGCTTCTTGTTTTTGGTACAGTTTCCAACCTCTGTTGCCCAGGGCTCTGTTGCCCAGGGTTGGTGATGAAATAACTCTTGACCATTGGTTTACTTTCTCTTTCTTTGTCTTAAACTCAACACATACACACACTCTTTCTTTAAAAAAGTTTTTATTTTATTTTATTTTATTTATTTCTGAGAGAGGAAGGGAAAGGGAGAGATAGAAACATCAATGATGAGAGAGAGTCATCGATTGACTGCCTCCTCCATGCCCCTTACTGGGGATTGAGCCTTCAATCCTGGCATGTGCCTTGATCATGAATAGAACTGTGACCTCCTGGTTCATGGGTTGATGCTCAACCACTGAGCCCCACCAGCCAGACTCTCTCACACCCTTTCTTGACTTTGTTTACTCTCTTGCTTCTTTACTCTTCTCTCTATTGGTCAGGGGGGAGGGGCATTTTGATGGAACAAGAACTGGGAGCATGAATGCTCATGATGTAAGGGCCCCACATGACTATAGATGAGATTTATTTATTAGCCTAGCCACACAGCACTACCTACTGCTGAAACAGAAGTTCCCATCCACTCAGTGCTATGCATTCTATTGACCTGAGCTGAGATCTTTCCATCCCAGCATGACTCATCCCATTCTCCTGTGCTTCAAATGTGCTCACTGGGGGAAGAACATCAGATATAAAGGAGCATATCTGTTCATTGAGCCGTTTTTTGTTCCTCATGGAGGACCAGGTGTTGGGGAGCTTCATAAAGAATTGAGAGAGTTATCACGGTGTACAGCCCTGGCTGGTTTGGCTCAGTGGATAGAGTGTCGGTGTGAGGACTGAAGGGTTCTGGGGTCAATTCTGGTCAAGGGCACATGCCTGGGTTGTGGGTTTGATCCACATCGAAAGCTCTGAGCTCAGTCCTAAAAGTAACACGGTTCTAGTCCTGGTGCTCCAGCTCGGATGGGTCACGGCCCAGGACAGAGAGGTGGTGATGGCACTGAAGTCCACGTTCGGAAGTAATGTTATGGAACGCAATGATTCTCTCTCATCATTGATGTTTCTATCTCTTTCTCCCTCTCCCTTTCTCTCTGAAGTCAATAATAAAAAAATCCTATATAATAAAAATGCAATATGCAAATGGTCATTACACCATGACGCATAATGACCAATAGCAGGAAGGTGGAGAGCTACGAGCGGCCAGCTGAGACAAGAGGCAGCAAGCTACTCTCACATGGATTCGTGCACAGGGCTACTAGTATATATATAAAAAAGAATTAAAGACATGTGGGAATGTCAGGAGAGGCTGTGTGGAAGGATCCCAATTTGAAATGGGCTTTGGAGAATGGGTTGAGTTTGGATGGCTAAGCAGAAACTTGGAAGACATTCTGGAGAGAGTACACTAGCAATTTGAAGCAAAGAGGTAGGACTACGCATGCCACATGTGAGGGAACATCGTGGAGTGGTCTTGATGGGTATGAGGAGTCACACCTAGAGATAAAGTGGGATTGGGAGCTCACAGAGGCCCTTGAGAACTACAGACTTTGAGGGTATGAAAGCAGGATGGAAACACATGACAGATATGGGGTTGCTGGGAGACTTTATTCATCTTTTAAGCATAAGATTGTGGCTTTGGAATAAGCAATTCAGTAAGTTCCCCTGGGAGGGAGAGCAAGGGGTGGGCTTTCTTTTCTCCTTGTTTTGAGGTGGATATTTGTAATTTGGGGAAAAGGTCATGATTGAGGAAAAGTGTGAAGCTACCTGAACGGAAGAGAGAGATCACGGTACAAGTGCAAAGTAATAAAGAAACCCCCAGTGATATACATCACATTCTTCCTGTAATTCCATCTGTTGGGAAATTTATTCTCCCTCACTGAGACCACTTAACAGTATTAGTGGGCACTCATTATCATAACCATAGGTACTTTTTTTTTTGTTATTGTTACTCCTCACCCAAGGATATTTTCCATTAATTTTTAGAGAGAGTGGAAAGTGGCGGAGGAGGAGAGAAACATCAATGTGAGAGAGACACACTGATTGATTGTCTCTTGCATGTACCCCACCTGGGGCATAGATGTGACCTGCAACCTAGGTACATGCCCTTGACTGGAAATCGAACCTGAGACCCTTTGTTGTGCAGGCCAGTGCTCTAACCACTGAAAAACACAGGCCAGGGCATCACGAGATGCCTTTGGACATCATGAAAGACACAGTTAAATTGAAGGTGGTTGTAATGAGAAGTGCTCCCTCTGGTAATCCACAGATGGTACATGTAGTTGCTTTTTTCCAAAAACGAATTCTATGTAATAAATTTTCAAATATACCCAGGAGGTTTTGTTTCGGTTAGCATTAGTCGCCATTGGGAAGACAGAGTCACAGCTGGAACAGAAGACAGAGATGAGATGAGTAGACTGGACCCAGGTGAGTAGGCGAAGAGTAACAAAGCACTCACAGGTGCCAGGGAGCCAGAGAAGTTACCAGACAAAGGAGCAGAGTGAGAGATAGGACAGTAGCATGTCAGTGGGTGAGTGCGGGGCAGGGACTGTGGTCCAAGACCTGCTTCGGAGTTCACTGTGTGCCTGGAGGAAGCCATTCCTGTGCTCAGGGCTGGAGCTGTTCTGGGAAAGCAGCCCTGATGCTCCCTGAGAGTCCTGGGCTGCAATGTGTGGCATCGCTTTGAAAGGCGCACCCAGGTCAGCCCAGGGTCCTGACTCTCTCCTGCTTTCCTCCGACAGAGCCCCTGCGCATTGTCCTCGTGGGGCGGAGCGGAGCTGGGAAGAGTGCCACCGGGAACTCCATCCTCGGGCGTAACATCTTCACCTCTAAGCTCAGTCCCCAGACGGTCACCAAGGCGTTCCAGAAGGGCAAGAGGACAGTGGCGGAGCAGGAGGTGGAGGTGGTGGACACTCCTGACCTCCTAACCCACTTACAGAAGGTCGAAAGCTCTGAGCTCAGTCCTAAAAGTAACACGGTTCTAGTCCTGGTGCTCCAGCTCGGATGTATCACGGCCCAGGACAGAGAGGTGGTGATGGCACTGAAGTCCACGTTCGGAAGTAATGTTATGGAACGCATGATTGTGCTTTTCACCCGGAAGGAAGACTTGGGGGACGAGGACATTAAAGATTACTGCAAAAACACAGACACATTTCTTAAGGAGACCATTAAAAAGTGTAACGGGCGAGTTTGTGCTTTTAATAACAAAGAAACCGGCCGAGCTATGGAAGACCAGGTAACAGGCCTTTTGCAAATGGCCGATAAGCTGATACGTAACTGTAAATGGTCTGTGGAAGGGGAGAAAGTCAGGAAAATAACTGAAGATGCCCAGGAAAGCAAATATTTCGGAAACGCAATCACAAAATTAAAAAAATATATTTCATAGGTGGCTGAAGTGCCTGGGATCTCTTTAAGTTAGAGCTGCACTCAGGTTGGGGGGTATGGGAAGATTGGTGGATGGGGAGCGGGTTCATGACTTTTATTTTTTTATTTTTTACTTTTTTATAATATATATTTTATTGATTTATCACAGAGAGGAATTGAGTGAAATAGAGAGTTGGAAACACCGATGAGAGAGAAACATTGACTAGCTGCCTCCTGCACGCCCCCTACTGGAGATGTGCCTGCAACCAAGGTACATGCCCTTGCCCGGAATCGAACCTGGGACCTTTCAGTCCACAGGCCGACGCTCTATCCACTGAGCCAAACTGGTTTCAGCGGGTTCATGACTTAAAAAAAAAAAGTATTTTATTGATTTTTTACAGAGAGGAAGAGAGATAGAGTTAGAAACATCTATGAGAGACATCGATCGGCTGCCTCCTGCACATGCCCTTGACCAGAATCGAACCTGGGACCCCTCAGTTCGCAGGCTGACGCTCTGTCCACTGAGCCAAACCGGTTTCGGCGGTTTCATGAGTTTTAAGGGCTTGAGAAATCAAGGCCTCTCATCTTGTGATGCTTCGGCTCTTTGAGGTAAATAAATTTTCAAGTTGGGGTAGGTAGTAGATTATAAAGAAGCAAGAAAAAATAATGTAGTGAAAAAGGGTCAGAATCAAGTCACAGGAATTACCTTACCTTTGCAGGTAGATTGTAGTCAGGACCACGGCAAAGGCCAGCCTGTGGCCAGAATTCACATAGTTACACAAGAATCAGGGCACCCGGATACATGAGAGCAAGGCCACGTCTGGGAAGTCCTGGGCATGGCAGAGAGGTGCATCTGGACACCTGAGGGCCGCCCATGCCTGCCACACCTGCCGGCCTGAGCTGTCCTTTTCTGGAGTGGTGGCTGTTCCGTTGTGCCCTCTCCATTTCTAGTCTGAATGCAAAGTGACCCAGTCCCCCCTTCTTTGTGGTCCCCGAGGAAATGAACAAGACTGTGTCGTTTCAAATGACTGTACTGTTAAATCATCACAGTGGAAGAGACTAGAACAAAAAAATCACTAAAATTGCCAAGATTAGACAACTTTGCAAAATTTTGGAATTCTAAGTATACGTCTAGATTTCCTCTAGAAAAGGTTATTGAAAACTTTTTTTGCACTTTTCTCCATTCTGTATCTCGAGGGTTAGGAATTAGGTTATAACCAGAGAACTCACATAATTATGGTATAAACACATTAGGGGCTTATGGTGTCTCATGTCCGGGGGCAGGCTGTCTGAGGCAGGTGCTGTGTCCATGGTCCAGCTTCATTCTCATGCAGTCTCCACACTTCAGGTTGCCACTGGGTTCCAAGATGGTGATGTTCTACTCACAGGTGAGCAGTTAAAATTGAGAGCTGCCTGATGGAGGTGCTATATGAGGCAAGAACTATAGAATCCTCTTTCAGTAGATGTAGGGCCAGATGTTTTCAATATTAACCACTTTAGAGATACTTTGGGGACAGGATTTATATCACTTGCTTTTTTCTTTTGCTTTTTTAAGTATCAGTTTACCTTTAAGACTGACCCATTTATAAGAGCATGAACTGTCAACATTAATAATTTTGTATCCTGCATAACTCTTATTATGACAAATTATGGAAACCGTGTATGTAATTATACTCCGCTGTGTGAAATAATAAAGATGAATGAAATTATGAAATTATGTCCTCCTGATTTCCGTTTTTCTGACTTGAGGAAGAGCCTGGCTCCTCCTAGAGGCAGGAGATGTCTCAACTTGGCTGTTTGGAATTACCTCAAAAAATTAAAAATGAAACTGCCTTATGACCCAACTTTTCCACTTCTGGGAATTTATCCAAAGAGACTCGTCGAGAGGACCCCCAACCCCAGACTGCAAAACTTTGTGCCCATCGACCTGGATGAGTGGTGGGCACAGCAGTTCCTGGCCAGAATCACTAACTGCTCCTAGCCGCTGCTTTGGAAGGAACGGTGCCTGCACAGGCCTGGCCCTGCCACACGGCAGACCCTCTGCCAGGAGAGGACCATGGCACCCTGTATACCCACTGCAGCAGGTCGTGTTCCCCTCCGGGCCAGGCTGGATGCCAGCCACACCTGAAGTGCCAGCATTTGGACTTTTGTACCTTCTAACCCCTTGGCCCAGCTGTGCCAGGCTGCCAGGGGCTGAATCTCTCTGACCTCAATCCTGCTCAGTGTGCCTGGGCACCAGCCCCTGGGGCTGGTATGGCAGAGCTCCAGGTTAATAAAGTCAAGAAACTGCAAAAACAAACAAACAAACAGACAAACAAACAAAAAACACACACACAAAAAACACAAAAAAACAAAGACACCCAAAACACTAATTCAAAAGATTGTATGTACCGTTAAGTTCACTGCAGCATTATTTACAATAGCCAAGATTTGGAAGCAGCCCGAGTTCATCAATAGATGAGTGAATAAAAAAGCTGTGGTACATTTATGCAATGGAATGCTACGCTGTGGTAAAAATCTTATCTTTGCAACAGCATGGGTTGAACCTACAGAACATTATGCTAAGTGAAATAAGCCACTTAGAGAAAGATAAGTATCATATGATTTCCACTCAAATGTGGAATTTAATGAACAAACTGAACTACCAAGCAAAATAAAAACAGACTCACAGATAGACAGACAGCTCTGGTGTATTGGGGGAGTGGAGAGATTGAGGAAAAAAAAAAGAACTCATGGACATGGACAACAATGAGGTGATTGTGGGGGGTGAGAGTGGTGGGTGTAGGTGGAAGAGAGCATACAGGGGATAAATGGTGGTGGGGGAAAAAAAAGTAAAGGAATTCCAAAGATTATAAGGTAGAAGATAGGAATAGAACAAATTATCTCTCAAAAGCCTTGGAAGGAACTGAGTGTACCATCACCTTGATCTTGTTCTTCTAGCCTTCTTTGAGCCACCCAGTTTGTACTCCAAGAGAAGAGCTCTTTTCTTTTTTAAATCATCATCCAAGGATATATTTTTATTGATTTTGAGGGAGACAGAGAGAGAGAGAGAGAGAAAGAGAAGAGAGAGAGAGAGAGAGAGAGAGAGAGAGAGAGAGAGAGAGAGAGAGAGGATGGGATGGAGAGAGAGAAAGAGAAACACCTATTTGAGAGAAAAACATTGATCAGTTGCCTCTCATATGCGTTCCAACTGGGGATCAAACCCATAACCTAGGTATGTGCTGGAACTAGGAATTGAACCCACAACTTTCTGGTGTATGGGATGAGGCTCCAACCAGCTGAGCCATCTGGCCAGGGCAAAAGAAGAGCTATTTTCAGTTATAATGAGTCTAAACTAAATCCAGTAGTGTAGGTTTTTACTTTTCCAATCCTACCCATATTATTTTTTTCTTAATAACATGTTTTTCCCCCCACCATACTAAATCAGCTTTTGACCACCATAAAAGCCACATAGTTTTTCTTTTCAAGGCTTAGAAAGAGGTAATATCATTGTGATATTATAAGTTATTATATATGACATTGGACACAACATTTTGCCTACTGCTAACCCTTGGCCAAGAGTCTGTGTCCTTCTGAAACCGGTTTGGCTCAGTGGATAGAGCGTCGGCCTGCGGACTAAAGGGTCCCAGGTTTGATTCTGGTCAAGGGCACATACATTGGTTTTGGGCACATCCCCAGTCGGGGGTGTGCAGGAGGTGACTGATCAATGTTTCTCTTATCGATGTTTCTAGCTCTCTATCCCTCTCCCTTCCTCTCTGTAAAAAACCAATAAAATATATTTTAAAAAGAAAAAGAAAAACAAAAAAGAGTCTGTGTCATGAAGCCTTTGTAAAAACATCTCAACAGGTATAAATTCAAAAAGCCCATGTATGATTGGCTCAAATAAAGAAAACTCATAAAATGAAGCCCGTGTGGTTTATGTGCAGTTCTGATAGGCACGTAGAAGGAATTTGTTATGAAACCTGTTCCTTTATTCAAGAATTTCTGAGCACATATTATGTTTTCTTGATAAATATTTTTTTTCATGAATTGTTTATAATCGCAGCTGATAGACTTCTGTGTTGTTCTGTTGGTTATCTCCAACAAGAGAATAGGCATAATACAAATTGTTATGCATTACCTAGACTTCCATTTGCAATAAGGAACACAGACAATGCCATACCAAAGTGAGTTTATTGACATTCCTTGAAGGTGATATGACGGAAGAGAAAGCTTGGCCTGAGTATCACGTGACATTTCTCTTGTCAATGTAAGCAAAATCAGCCCACTAATGTGGACTTCTCCTGCTATTGACTAGAACAAAGACTTTTAGCAAAATTGTTATAGATATTTCCTTAGATAATTCAGAAGCTGCAGGAAGTAGGTTGATGGACTGACATTTACTCTATATTCTACCTGTTGGCATCTATTTTTTTCTATTGGAACAAAGGAACTCTATGTCACTAATAGAAAAAGAACACTTTCTCTCTTGATCTTATGAGGGCTGAACACCTAGATTTTCATGTTATAGAATGGAAGCAATAATTTTAGTGAGCACTAAAATAAATAAAGTAATAATAATAATAATAAAGCACCACATTTGTAATGTGAAAGTGTAACTAGTTTCATTTTAAAGTGTTTCATTTTGACTTTGAAAACATTTGTGGCAATTGAGAAATTTTCTGAACCCAAAATTTGGACACACGGTTTGACATATGGACTGACAATGTCATAAAATGTAATATTTAAATGTCCTGGAAAGTCCAGTTCATTGACTTGCACAAAAATACACTTACTGTTAAAGGACATAGGGACATATGTTAAAAAACAACACATTTAGATTTTTGTCATATTTAAAGCCTGCCAAAAATATATATCTTTCTTAAATTTGCATTGCCATTCAAAAAATTGTGCTACAATAGTGATGGTTAAAATTTTTTGTCAACTTATATATGCAGGAAGTTACAAAGAACTCAGGATATTTAGAATACTTCTGATCCTACAGAGTCAATTTTCTATTTTTAAGATTATTGTCTTCATATG